GGGGACATTGGTACACTGGACACACTGGACATTGAACACTGGATGCCGGACGACGGGCCACGGAAGGAGGTGTCTCGTCGTCCCACCACTGGCCTTCCAAATAGAGGGTTTGACCTGGAAAGTCACTGCGGGAATGGCGCGGGAGAGCTTCCACTTTCCTGCCTTTCTATCCCGCCGAACACTGCCAGTGTTGCAACCCCCAGTCCTTCTTCTGGGGTCGTGAACCTGAACACCAAACCATCTCTAGACCTTGTCCTGGACGGACCTAATCCTAGACCTCGCCCTTGAACAAGGGCAAGACCACTCACTATAGCACCCCCCCCCCCCCCGATTCCCCCCGGGAGGAGGCTGCTCTGGACTCTTCACCTCATGCACAATCTGATTCTTTTGGCGCGCCCCGCCATCCATCAATCCCTTCATCCATCTACCCATTACACATGCACCCTGAGCAAGCCCCGTTATGGTGCTGCACCACCACCACCACCACAGCCAACCCAGCGTCCATTCATCTCTTCGCCCCAACATCCTGGATCGGTCCCATCCATCCCTTCCTTTACACTACACTCTGCATCTCCATCGCTGCGGCCACCACTGCTAGAGCTAAAGTAACGCCGCAGTGCCACACAATGCCCATCCACACCGGCCCGATCACCCTATCCCATCCCATCCCCATGCCCTTGTCCTGCTGCCCTGCCTCTTGTCACACCCTCCGTCCTTCGACATCTCACCATACCGGATTGCAGAGACTCCATTTTGAAACGTCGAGTTTGGTTTCCACAAGCCAATCGCAAATCACGCATTGCAGCCTCCGACATCCACCGTGGATCGTCGCCGCCTGCCTATCGAGATGGCCGAACCTGTCCAATATTGCCGCGCCGTGCTATAGGCTTCTATGCAGCAAATGCCCTTGCTACTATGCAATTCCCTGCAGCACATCAGTCCGCGCCGCCCTGATGACGGAGCCAGCCCACCATATGCTCGCTGGGCTGGCCGCCGCTCTCGAGACGCCGTCGGCTCTGCCACGTACGGGAGATGCCACCGGTTCTTTGATACCTTCCGCGCCTGGTCCCGTCTACTTGATGGCTCAGCGCCCATTGATGGAGCAATCTCTTCATTCGATTGGCTCGTCTTTGCTAGATAAATGTCCATAGGATTGGGCCATGCCACGTGACGCATGCGGTACGTTTTGCTGGGCAAGCCAACGAACGACTCGTCTAGTCTCGCATGCTGTCTAGCAGCCAAAGATACATCACAGGACAAGGGGGGTCACGAACCCTGCTGTCCAAGTGGCAGGCAGAGTGGCAGCCCGGTGCGAGATGCCGTCCCATGCGTCTTACACTGTCAGAAGGACCGTCATAACCACCGACTCGTTGTGCTGAGAAGCATGCCCATAGGAGACAGTAGACTAGACAGCTGCGCCATTACAGGAGCTGCCCTCAGAGGCATTGGCATTTTGCGCCATTTGCATATGCGTCTCCAATGTACGTCTGCGACGAAAACATGACACTGAATAACTTCAGTCAACAAGCGGCCGCCAAGGGCAACAGCCTGTGCCTGGACCTGTGCTCGATTGGATGGTAACGCAAATGGGAATCGTCCGTCTCTTGCGGGTTCGTAAACATTGCTCACTGACTGGTGCACTGCGCTATGCTACGGTGCATTGTCCATTGTCATGGGCCGCCCCGAGTTCCAAGCCTCAGCTACAACGATAGCAGAACGCAAACAAGAACCAAAACTTACCCTATCTAGAATGGGCCAAGAAAGTCAACACAATTCAAGCAATCAATCATCAAGGACCCACCACCTCGTGTTGGGAAGTGAGATGAATGGAAATATGCAGATAACAGAGACGTTTTCTACCAGCCGAGCACGGGCTGGCGTCACATCTAGTGGCAGTTGGAGGATTATGAGACACACCAGAAAAATTGCAAACCAGACAGCTCCCTCCTTTTCGCATCTCTTGTTAGATCAGAGTCGGCATGGCAGCTCTGTCCCAAGTCACCGTGTGGCTGCCGCGCCGTTGCTTAATTGAGTGTAACAGCAACACATGCACAAGCACAGCAGACACAATACGTAGTGACGACGACAAAGAGGCACTTGGCCAGCCGTTAGGCGGGATCCATCGCCTCTCCCGGCCGCCTTGTGGCTACTCTCGTGCGCCCAGCCATGTGGTTTACCTCTCCTCATCTGGTCGCTTGCATCCATCCAATTTGTCTCGACAGCACCGTTACAACAACAACCCACCAGCTGGTGGCCTGTCTTTAAGCCTCGGCGGGGTTTCTTTTGCTTGCCATACAGATGACATACAATGGAAAGAAAGCGGCAGCCGCCGAGCTACACGGGGCAAGATGACAGTTCCGGCATTCGCTTCGGCATCTCCCGACCGAGTGAACACTCACCTGCGCATGCCCGTGGGTTACTGTGCTAGTTGGGCCCCTCTCGCCCACGGTCAGATACCAATCCGGTCAGAGATCGCACACCTGAGCCCTGTCCCCATTCGCGACCCACCCCATCACAGATCCTGGTACCTTCAAACGGAGTGCTTCCTTGACAAGTTTCACGCCCAATCCCGGGTCTCAGCTTGCAGATCGATGGGTAACTGCGCCTCATGGCCTCCCATTTGCATCAACTGAGGAGGCGTAGTGCACTCTACGCGGGCCCAGCAGCCCGCCGCCCCAGAAGCCCATCACACGGTAACGTCTGTTGTTTTCGACGACCCTACTAATGTTGGGTGCGCCAATGGAACGAACACGAGGTCCATTTCGCGCGCCTTACCGCAACCTATATCACGTCTATTATCACGTTGCCCTGGTTTTCTATTTGGAAATCTAAGCCCTGCCCGGACATTTTCCCTGCGGAGATCATGGTTCAGACGGAGTATCTGACGCCATGATCTACTAAGGTCAAATCTGATGCACAACTCGATGTCAAAGGCAGTCGCCCTAGTCACCGGCAACGGCCAGCATGCCAAGCTACTTCGGCAACACACCCCCAAAAAGACGCAAACCACCGTTGTCCGCCGTCCGTCCCTAGTTTGTTAACAGGATTGGGGGCCGACGACGGACAAAAACAGCACAACAGGGCACAAATACAATTGTATTGAGCGGGCTTCAACCCGTAAGGCGGGAGGGGGGTGGGAAGGGGAGGCAGAGGTAGAGGCTGTCGCCTCTTGTGCCAGTTACACAACTTAACCCAGGCCACCCTTGTCCCAGAACGCACATGGACCCTCATTGAGCCAGCGGCCAGTCGGGCGCTTTTTTTCCCACCGGCGCCCAAACCTACTGTGGGGAAGTCTAAACATTGACTACATCCCTTCCCCTTCAACGCATAATGCCCAGCATCCTTGCGTTGCCGCAAGTGGAAACTCTGATCAGATTCTCTAGCTCCCACTCTACTCCTTGCGCAGTGATCATGCTGGTTCCCGTTGCGAGCCTCCTCTCCGTCCCCATCTTTTTCTCCGATGCTTGCTTGTGGTTTTCGGGCCTTGCGCCAGCCTAGTCTTGTCGTCCCTCTCTTTCCACGAGAGAGTGAGGTGTGTGTAAGAGCCCTGACCTGACAGCACCCGGGCTCGGTCCAGACATCCGTCGTCCTTGTACCCATTTCAAGCCTCTTGACCTAGTCATGACCTTCGATGCTGCTTCTGTTCTGACCATCTCTACACCCTCCACTCAGATTCCTAAACAGCTACCGTCTTCAATCCCTACCGTCCCTTTATGCGCTCTTCAGCACAGCCCTACTTCTGCGTGTCCCTGGCCAACCGAGCTCGTCCCTGGCTCTCGCTGACCATTCGTCTTATCTTTGTTTCTTCCTGACCTTTCCGAACACTGGCTTTGAACTCCCACCTCCCATTCCATCACCCTCAGCAACTGTCTGAAGCCTGCCAAAATCTGTCACAATTTGGTTATATCAAGCATTTCGTGTACCCTCACCCATGGCATGATAGTACCTGCGTTCCCGAAACGAAACTTTGACGAACTTCATAGAGACAGTCAAAACTGTTAGCAAGTACACCTTGAGAGAAACAAGTCGGGCTTGCCCCAAAACTTGCCGTCTTCTATTATTTTCTCTTTTCTCCAAGCAACAAGTATTCCAGTCCCAGCGTGGTCAAGACTACAGGACCTGGAAACGATACAAACGACACCATCGTTCGGAAAGCGAGGTTCGCGGATCCGAACGACATCCCCTTTATTCAACACCGCATGCAGGACACTGCCACAAATCACCCCTTGATTGTACAGCCTTAACTTCAGCAACGGAGAAGGCACTGTTTCCTCTGTTTCTTCTCGGTTCGAGGCCGATCCGACAGCTGCGAACCACTTGAGCATGTTCAAAGCCCATGGTAGTAAACCCTTCGGACGACCTTTCACGTACACCACTGGCCAGCTTGAAGGTGTTTCGGCTGTTTCAATCCACTTTTGGAACTGTCAGTGCGACTCTGAAACGGCGATCCCAACGATAGGTCTGATATTCTTATCGTTTGCTTCTTAACTTGTCATCGCCCTCCTGTCCTACCCCTTCCCTTCCCTCGTTGCCTCCCGCCCCCCGGGCGCCACACACAAAAGCTTTGGGATCTCCCACCAACCTTATCGCTCCCTTGCCCTTTCCTTCATTGCTGCCACCTTACGTTACCGACTCCAAGTTGTGCGTCCTTCGCAGCCTGGGTGTACAAGACGCGTATCCGATGTTATCGGACTGGATCCTAGAGATCGGACATTATCATTAACGGCGACGACGACTATAACAGTAACAGCGACTACCGAGAGGCAACACTTAACGGCAACATTATCAATAGCTATATTAGCGAGACTTGATCCACGTAGCCATTTAACGACGACGACGACGACGGCAACGACGATTCTAGGTACTGGGACGTTGCGCAGTCTGTAAATTTGTACAAGCGGAGAACGTCACAAGAATCTATGTCAACATCACCCCGAGGAACCGTCAAACTGGACTCTCCCCGGCGATAAACCCTTTCCCAAGTCGTCCGCGCTTGAGCGATGGACGTGACATCACTACTGAACGTAGCGGCGGGAAACAAGCCCATTATTCGGAACAACACCACTGAAAGCACTTTTGCGACTATCATCGACAAGAAGATTACAACTACCGCGTCCACGGAGAAGACTGCTTCTTCCAGGCGCACAAGCGACCCCCGAGCACCGCGGAACCGCACGCCATGGGATGCGGGCGGTTATTCTCTTCCATTATCAGTAGACACCACCAAGATTCCTGCTCCCTCCGCGAAGCCTGCGTTTTATAGCGAGTCCGACGTAGACCAGTCGGCATCCGCAAGTTCATACGACTTGCCTTCATCGGGCTGCCATTCCAGGGCCAGCTCTCTTAGTTCTTTGGCACACGAGATGGCGCACTCCGCCAACATTACTCCGATGACGAGTACACACCCCGGCCGGTACGTAATATGGTGCTTGTAGTTCTGTCTTGCTTTTTTCTTGCTTGGTCGCATCGCATATTTGCGACCTTGTGTGGTCGGGCCGGCTAATTCGGAATAAAGCCCGACAAACATGGGTGAGCTGGAGCCGCAACTTCATATTGCGACGGGCCCAAGGTGAGCCGGCTACTGGCGGGGGTGGTGGTTATTATAATTGCACTGCGTTCGCGTCCAAGTAGTACAAGGTCATTGGCTAACTATTTCAGACACAGTATATCTGGTGACTCGGATGCACAACTGACAGCAAGGTAAGCATATCTGGTCTGTTGGGCTTTATCGCGTTCAACAACTCACTATACTGCTCATTCACTTGGCCGGCCTCAGTGGGTCCCGCACTTTTCGGCACAATCCCATGAGCTTGACGTCCAAGAGGCTAACAAGGAGACAGGCCTAATTTGCCGCGTGAGGATGATGGCCAACATGTCACGGGCGGGTTTCCCAAATCCCCTAAGCACAAGTTTTCGGACAGCCATAGTAGTCTGTCTTCCTACACGTCCTCTACACAATCTGGAGGCCACTCTAGGATATCATCGCTATCCACAGTAAGCGGTATCCAGCCATTTACATCCTTGTTGAACGATGTGCCGGCCTTCGACACCAAGTTGGCAGAACACCAACAAAGCATGACTGGACCTGCCATGGTTGATATCCAGCCGCCCTCGCCGAGAACCATTCCTCAGTCTGATCCCAACGCACAAGGACCGTTGGATCCTAGTTTGAAGGGTCCGGGGAGACCAGGAAGTCCATCCGATGCAATCTTGATTACTCGGGGTATGGGCAGCAACAGGTCGAGTCCTACTGACGGTTTAAGGTACGTTCAGTTACCCCTTTTGACACACTTGCACCGCATATCCAATGGCACCACATTGCACAAAAAAGCACTTCTGGCGGGTGTATAGAATGAAGCCTTGAGGGAAAGAAGGATGGGGACCACCTTCATCTCATGTACAAACCAGGTTTTCGCGCCTTCCTCACCCAACAGTATTGGTCATGCTCTTTCCCTTCGCGTCGGTCTTTCCTCTTGGCTTCTGCCTCACTTCACCTCCAGACGAGCCTCTTGTGAGGGTCACGCGGGCCGATCAGTCACTTCCTTCACTTCATCTCAACTTCCAGAGTCGAGTGAGGTTGAATTAGCCTTCTCGTGATTCACTTCTAAACCTATATCGCCCACCAGGAGCAGTGCATCACAACTTCATCTCTCTCTGCCATATATAAACTTAGCTCTTTGAGCTGCACCAATCTGAATCTTCCTTCCAAACACAAACACGATCAATTTGAGCTGGACTCTGCTGACCATTCGAACTTTCAGCCCTCATTCAAAACACCCGCAGGACAACCTCAACTACCTTTCACTACCTCAGGATCATCCCCAGTCAAGGACTCACAAGCGCACGGTTTCTGCTCCAGACTTCGCAGCCATATCTGCCCCTACTTTCCAACCGTTCCCTTCCGTTTCAGAGACGGCCCCGTTCCCGCCGCAGCAGCCGTACGCCATGTCTCCCCCGCAGTCACCGCCGACTGCGGCTAATCAGGATGAGATCAAGTGTATGTATATCGAGAACTGCGACACCGGATCCCAACCTCGTAAGGCCATTTCCCACATTTTCGGCCGCAACAAACTCTGCACCCGCATGATTCCTGCTCACGTCTGGGTTCACTTCTGCCGCAAACATTACCAGCGCAGTCGTTATCGCAACGCCCATGAGTACTCGAAGCTTCAGGTCGACCTCGTTCAGAAGCAGATCGCTCGCGTTCAGCAATGGAGTGATGAGAACGAGCGCGCAGGGAAGGCGGGTGTAGTAAACAGCTGGTCTTTAGCTATCCGCAAGCGTGAGCAGAAGCGTCTGGAGGACAAGAAGGAGTCCAAGAAGCGCGCGTATCAAGACGAATCCGACGACGAGCAGCTTGATGGTGCAATGCTTAATGGAACTGCCGTCCCCGAATGGCTGCTAAGCAAATGCGGTGCTGGTTACACGACTGTTGCTATTCAGGAGATTGTGGCCCAATTAAAGACCGAGATCGACAATGGCGGTCTCAGCCAAATCCCTGATATCGAGATCCTGCCTACCATCAGCAGCGACGGCCCCGACGAGAAGCCCAAGACTTATCTTAAGCGAAAGACGAGCGGCGCCGCCGCCCACAAGCGTTCCCAATCGATGGGTGTAGCTCTCAGACCCGAGGCACTCCCCATGGCTAGACGTGTCAGCCAGCCCAACACTTATTGGGGTCATGAAGGTTTCGATGCCTCCTCCTTTGATAATCACCATCGCGTTACTGACATGGAAGCTGGCTACTTTGGAGACCGAAATGCCATGCCCGGTATGCCTAGAGTTCCCTCCGGCATGCGCCGTATGAACATCCCGCACCGTCCTGCATTCGGCAACATTCGCGAGGGTCACCCTGAGGAGGACTACTACCGACAACCTCAGATGGGATCAGGCCCCTTTGTATTCGGCGCGGGTGGTCCTCAAGGCGGCCCTCTGCCTGCCCCGACTCCACAGCGTCGTGGTAGCAAGTCGATGGCCTCCCATCTCGAGACCTCAACGACAACCATGCCAACATACCCCGACCCTCGCCGCGCGTATCACCAGCGGTCTCAGAGTGAGATTGGTGGATTCCACCAGGGACAGGCTCCCAACTACCGCCCTTCCTCATCCTCTGGATACGCCCCACCCGCCTATGGCTACGGACCTGGCCCCGTTGAGCAAGACAGCTATGATGGCACTTACCCTCGTCCCCATGACAACCCATTCGTTCAGGGTGCCCAACCCAACTACTATGAGGATCCGCAACGGCAGTATGCCTACGGAGCATCACCGTTCCAGCCCAATCCTGTGCCTCGACTCGGCCCGGTTGGCGTCAACAGGCACACCCGCCATCAGAGCACTCCGAACGCACCCCGTGCCATGCACCGTGCTCCCTCTACGCACGGCTTCGCGGTCGGCGCGAACATGGCTCCTCAGCATGACCAACGTGGCTATGAGCGCACGTCTTCGGAGCACTCACGCCACTCCTCATACGCCACGCCGCCCATGCAACCCATGCAGCACATGCCGGATGCTGCCCGTCACTGATCAGCACCTAGATCCGAGCAAAGAAGAAAAACAGCACTCTTTTGAAACGGCCTTCCTTATACCCGCACAATCATGTCACGTTGACACGGCATCAAACAGGAGTAAACATTGGGGAAGGCAAGCGGTCATTTGGTTTCTGTCCTATATCCTCTCTCTTTTAATCAGTCGCACACAACTCTCTCATATCTCTCTCTCGTTGCACACACAAGGAACATTGCATAAGGACAGCGGGGAAAAACAGCCAAAACTTAAACGGACTTTCTTTATTTCTTTTTTTTTGGAGCCCGAAGCCATGTGGGGGTATTATATGGCTCTTGGAGGCAAATGATGGATGACTGGACATCGTCAGGGATCAACGGCACAACCTGGGATTCACGGTTGGGATCAAGTCTAGAGAAAACAAAACAAAAAGGGAACCCTTTTTTTCTTTTTCTTTTTTTCGATTGGCTTTTGTCGGACACAGAGCGAGAGATAAGAGTTCACAACACACGTTGAGGGGATCGAGCGGGAGGATGAACGAATGGCGGCGGCGGCGGTCTAGGCTGGTCTTGGTCTCGGCGGGATGGGAAGGATTAAAAGTGGCGTTGGTTTTGGTAACTTTTTTTCCCCCCCCTCCCCCTTCCTCTTCTTTTTTCAGCTGCACTGTTTGTTCTTTTTTCACAATAGTTATCGTTATTTTTTTTTCTGATCCGGCTGCGGTTCCGTTTACAGCGCATGACGGATGGTTTGGGATGGGTTGATGGGGGGTTGTGGGGGTGGGACATCTCTACTTTCCTTGTACCATGTTGATAATGCTTCTTTTCGGCTTCCTTTTATTTCTATTTTTAAGCTCTGCAGGCTTTGAATGCTTAGATAGCTCGGCCTAATGAACACATGCAGTTGAGTCAGAAAGATATACGGTTCTGCCATTGTGATTGATGAAAGTTTTTTCTTTATGTGTGAAGTCGGTGACTGATTGGATCGTAAGGTCTTGAAATGTGTCGTGGCCCTGATTATGAATTGGTAATTGTTCAGTTTTTTTTTTTTTTTCTTTTTTCATGGCATATAAATCCATTTTTTATTTATTTATTTTTTTGTATTAAATCGCTCATTCTCTATACATGATGGAACCTCCTCTCCAATCGGCCAACCTACCCACGTTTGCTTTCCCTTTGACTTCGAACCCTAACCTCTCGTAAAACGGCTCGACGCCCTCGAGCCCAATGAGCCACGCCGCCACGCCCTCCTCGTCAACACGCTTCAACCCTTCCCTGACGAGAATCGACCCGTACCCTTTACCCTGAAACTCGGGGTACACCCCCAGCGTCGAGAGGTACCACCCCGTCTTGCGCTTGGGGTGCTCCGGGTCGTCCTTCATGGGGTCGCTGACGACGTGCGTGTCGGCTAGCACGTCCAGCATGGCCGGGTCCTGAGACCGCGGGGGCCAGAGGTAGCCCGACAGGGAGTTCAGGCCGAGCAGGACGGGTTTGAGCCAGCCGCGGAGCGTCAAGAAGCCCTCGTGGGCCGCTTTCTCGGCGGGCGTGGGGTACGGCCGGCGCCACCACGCAAAGGCCACGACACGTTCGCCCGAGGCGGAGGATGCGTCTGGGATCGTGAGGACATGGAAGATTTGTTGCTCCGGACCCCAGTACCGCGCGTAGAAGAAGCGATAGGCCCATGCGCGCCAGTCGTCTGGGTGTTCGTGGCGGTGGGGGTGCATTTTGGCGATGGCCCAGTCGTTGCCGAAGGCTGCCATGAAGATCTCGGCTGCGGATGCCGAGTCGGCCGAGGTTCCTTCACGGATGCGGAATTCTGGCTCCGTCATGATGGGCTTTTTTTTTTATTCTTGTTGTATCGATGTGGATAAGAAGAGATAAGAGCTTCAGTTGGTTCCGTTCATGAACGGCTTCAAGATGCTTGGTGGAGTCTGTGGATTGTGACGCAATTGGTTGCTGATGCCAGAGCTTGAAATCCACTTGTCCGCAATGACACCATTCAAGCGACGAATGCTGATGGAGTCGACGAGGAACAATATGATTGCCGAATCGGATTGAAGGCTCTGTTGCTGTTAAAAGGACTTTTGTGTTGGTTCGCGTGGTTTAAACGAAGGGCGTACGGGCATCCCTGGCTCGTCAATAACGAGGCGAATGACTCAATCGGCAAGACGCAACGTGGGGAAACTGACTCTCCCAAAAGTTCCTTGCTGCAGTTTAGCACCAATACGGGGCCGGGCCGGCCCCCGGCACGGAAGCCGCATTTGGCCTCTTCGGGGGAACGTCTCTCACGGCGGTGGGACGAAATGTTCTGTGATGTCCGTCGAGTCGATTGGATTTAGTCGGCCGATTGTCAGTCACACGGCGAAACCAGAAGTGCCGTTTGCTTCGGCCTGTCATTTTGAGACATGGGTTATCCTTTTTTCTTTTTCGGGGAGTGCCGGTCCGAAGCCGAGGCCAGGATGTTGCGCGAACACCCGCCCGGTCGGCGGCCATCGTCCTGCCTCGAACATGAAGTCATTTTCGGCCCCCAATGCCAGCCCCGCGCCGGGAGAGTGTTGGGCAGAATTTCCACGTCCCCCTCCAGGTCCCCTAATGTGGTAAAAAGTGCTCATCCCGTCCACGTGGAATACACGGTCCGTTATCCACACCAAGAGTCGACCCAACCTTGCGGATAAAGTGCTGGGCGGACCAACCCGCGGCTCCCCCCCACGGCGAACGAACAGGGTAGAGGGGTGAAAGGTGAGCGCCTCGTACTATCTCGTGGAGGGTAGGGGAGGATAGGTAACACAAGGCCTACAATACAGCCCTAGCGGCTCCCATCTCGTTGGGAATGCCGTGATCAGTTGACACGGGACGCCCTCCGCTACTTTAGTAGCGTAAACCCCGGCGGCAACGGTAACGGCGGCGGTGTGGCGGTTCTCGAGCGACAGCTTGCCCGCAGACGCTGTGTAACGTCGGTTGGAAATCAGCGGGCGTCCAGAAAGAAAGCAGGCCATGTTCTCATCCCCCCCTCAACGCGTCAGCCCTACAGCGAAAAAGCGGTGCCAGAGCCAACCAACTGACCTAGCAGGACATATATAGGTAGGCGTATGCATTACTTCTTTTGTGGCTGACAGGACTGACAAGCTGGCGGTCTTTCACCCCCGAATTTTGCGTCACACATCGTCCGGATTCGGAGGACGAACGGTTCATGACAAAGCCGAATGTTGTGCGATTGGTTCCATAATGGGGAAGTCCTGCCCACGGGGAAGCAGAAGGCATGGTCAGACCACCACATTTGGCAGTATCTCCCGCATCTGCTGATTGGCTCGGACTTTTGCCGAGACCGTTTCTTTAAATAAAACGATGTTACCTGCCCTCGGGATTTGATAGAAAAAGAGACACGGGGCTGGGTTAGCCGTATGTTTTGTCGATGCGATCGGTGATATCAGTGGCCTCATTGGGAAAGCGCATTGAGGTGGGATCGGGGGACAGCATAAGTAGCTAAGTGGTGGTGGTGGTGGTGGCAGAACATGTGTCAGATATGATTGATTATGCTGCATTACCATGCTACTAGGACGGATGCGGGATGAACCTGCTCAAGGGGAAACTGCTGACTAAATCTGCTCTAAGGCACCTCTTTGTCACATAAGACAAAATGGCATCGGGGGGGAAGGGGCGTTGTTGCTGGAGAGAGGAAAGAGGGGAAAGGGGGAGGGAAGGGAAACAAACGATAAATACCCTTCTTGTCTCCTATGTCTTTCATCTGGAATCTGCCGTTGGGTAACTCTGAAGGGGAGAAGAAAAAAAGCTCCAACCCGAAATATTGGATCGTCCAAAGACGCTACGCATATAGGAATGTCCACCTACCTAGTGCGTCCGGATTGTGGAATCTGGTCTGGCCCCTTGTCCTGTTAAAAAAAAAAAAAAAAACAGACCAAAGCAACATGTGAAATGGGCCTTGGCTATGTCAAGTTGGCAGAATTCCAACACCTTGTCTGTCCTAGGGTTACACAATGTCAGAAATTAGTATGCATCCCATATACTACGTAGCAGCATACACGGCACACTCTGGCGTCTAAACCGTCTATCCTGGTTACACACGCCTCGACGTCGTCAGTCCCGGCGGAAAACCTCTCCCCCTCGAGAAAGCCGTTCCCGTGTTACACCAGACAAAGGGAGTTGCGGGGTTGTCTTCAGTGGCCTACAGTGGCTCTCATTCGCGGTGGGGCCGGGATTAAGGCTCTGTTGAGAAAGGATCCGCTTGGAATCCCTCGATCCTCCTTTTTTCCCTCTCCTCCTGCCTTGCCCTCCCATACGATAGACCGGGGGGTCAAGTCTGGGCCTGTGGAGCAAAAACCCGGCACTGGACCAGTCGACAGTGGACTGCTTGGAACGCTACTGCCGACGGGTACAGGTAGTTAGCTCTACCTCACCTTAATAATCCTCACAACCCAGCCCAAGCTCTTCTCAGAAGCGAATGAGCTTGGCATGTTACTGCTTCTCGTTCGGCTTTTGCCTTCGTGCCTTTTGCTCTTGCTCTGAAAGCAAGACATTGCCCGCTTTGCTGCTTTGTGCTTCTTCTACGCCTGCAGTCTTTTTTCCACATTATTGTTTTTGTTCCTTCCTTGTTTTGTTTTATTCTTTCTCTTTTTGCTCCTTCGTTGCATTTTCTCCCGTTTTTTTCTGCGCCAATTTCCAACTGCGCCCCCCATTCGCCTCCTCCATCCAACGTAAGAGACGTCTCAGTCAGAATTGGAGTTCCTAAGGCCAGAAAAAAAAAGGGGGGGGAACATATCACTCGAAATGTCATCGCGGCCGCTACAGCGGCTCGCCGTGACGCCGCCATCTGAAGACTCTGACAACGTCAATTCGAGTTCGCGTTACACAAGTCGTGTGTCACCGGCCTCGTCAAATCATCAAACCACCCCAGACGCCCCGCCACGCGCGCACCGCGCCTGCGAAAAATGCACGAGAACCAAAAAGAAATGCGACAAGGGCTTGCCCGCTTGTTCGAGATGCACGAGGTGAGGCCACTTGGCTGAGAGAAGACTTCTGAGAACCGAATCTAACTCCTGCGATAGACTCGCCACCAACTGCTGCTATGACTTTGTCGTCAACCCACCGTTGCTGACCGTTGTCGACCATGGAACCTTCAAGGCTGCTGGAGACGTGCGGCCTGTCTTTGAATGGCTCAACCAGGTGGATTTCACCGCCGCCCAGATCATGCAGCTCCTGTCCAGCCGTGGCATCGACTGGAAAGCTTCGGTCAAGATCTACTTTTGCACCGTCAACACCTGGCTGGCCATCATTCACCCGGATCTCTGGCAGAGGCGCTGTGCTGCTGCCCAGCTCGATGTGAATCCCAATGACGTCGATACGGCTTTGATCGTACTGTGCATCCATCTCCTTACCATCTGGAACTGCGACGAATTCTCTTCGACCGCCATGTTCGAGCATCCCCTATATCAATCAGCCAAGCGGATATGGACCCTGAGGAAGGCGTTCTCGAGGCCCTCAATTGAGCTCATCCAGTGCGGTGTTCTGATATCCTTGTTTGAACTGGGTCATGGCGACATCACTCGGTGCTATCAGACCTTTGGTGAGGCCGCTGCCATTGGCAAGGTGATGAACCTGAAGCCGGGGAAATACGTAAAGGAGGAAGAGGACCTACCGGCCGACCACGAAGACGAGCAGAGGAGAGCTCTCTGGTGGGTTCTCGTTATTATGGATAAGTAAGCGCCGCCCGTCCTTGTACCCGATGAGTGGTGGGTGGAGCCTTTTGCTGACTGCCTAGGATCTCGCATGAACAATCGGCAACACTATGGACGCCCCTTCAAATGGACATGCCCTCTGAGGATGACCTTCTCCCAACCGAGCATTACCTGTGGGACAACGAGCAGAATGGAACCATCAAGATGTGCAAACGATACCCTGTGACAATACCGGCTTCGGTACGTGTCGGCGCATTTCAACGGTCATGCCAAGCTGCCATCCTCCTTGGTTATGCCGCCGCATGGGAGGTGGCCAGCTCTGAGCAAGAGGAGCCCCCGAGCGTATACTCGTTCATCCAGCTTGAGTCGGCCACACGACAACTCATCGAGGCTCTCATCACCCGCTCCGAGACATGGGGCGAGAACCTGAATACCTACGCTCTGTGTGCAAGGTGCGTCATTACTGACCCAAGGCGCAAAGTAACCGCTAATCTTTTTTTAATCAGCCTCTTTTGCCTTCTCTTCTACTCTTTCATGTACTCGGCGAATCGGCCGGATGCGCCATCCCGAGACCCCGAGACGGATATGGAGATGAAGAAGGCTGTTGCCGGCATCAACTTTACCATTTCTCTTGTGATTGACGGCTCCAAAGGTATCTTCAATGCTTATTCCAATAGAGAAGATGTCCTCGAACATTGCGCGCCGGTTTGGCCTTACGCGCAGTACCATACGATGCAGCTCCTTTTCCATTACGAGGCTCTGCTGGAAGATGCGGAAAGCCGAATGGCGGAAGTCAGACAGAGCGTCGAGAGTACTGCAAAGCGATGGGCATGTTCTCGTACGTCCCTTCACATGCCCAAAGTGTTGATTGGCTGCTAAATTTGTGTCATCGCAGGCTGGTTGCTGGAAGAGTTCGACAGAGTGCAGGCCGCACGGAGAAGCGGGGCGCAGATGTGCAAGAAGTGAGCCTCGATCGTGGTCCCAACTTGAGAAGAGTCAGAAGCTAACCCTGGTAGGTGCACTATCGGAAGCAGAACTTGCGGGCATTGTCCAATGCCCGAATGAACAAAGGCTGTCCTTGCAGATGGCAATCTCTGTTATTTACGGGTTCAAACCGACCAGTTGGGCCTCTGTTCTCGAGTTGAGCGAGACTGAGTTATCGGTCTTGGCGTTTGGCCCACGGGCCTAGCCGACCTCGACTTGTTATTGCGAGACAAGGACGAGGAAGGTGATATCTGGTTTAAAGATTAATCAGAGACCGACAGGAAGACGCGAGAGTGTAAGGTGTCTCGGAAGGCATTTCACCGTTGCCGTAAGGTGATCCGTGTCGGCCATATGCACCATCGTAAAAGGATGCCTCGTCATCCTTCATGAGGCTGTTGTCGACCACACAGACGATGATTGCGACGAACCATGTTATCCCAAAACAGACAGCAGGATTATGCGAGAGGTCCGGCAGTCAATCTTTACGACACAGACCGGCAAAAACTGCTGGTAGAGAGAGAATTATGCGTCGGGGGGTGCCCAATGTGTTTCGTAAGGCTCCTGCGCATTGCCAGGCAAAGATCTGGGGAAAGCAGCTGCTTCCAGGGGATAGGATGAAGACTAGGTCGGCCGTGAGAGCAGGCTTGCTCTCAATGGGCGTGAGTCGTGATTGCGAGATTTGCAGCAGCGCCGACGCTGGGCCATGTCCCTGCTTGAATCTTAACGTTCAAGCTGAAGCCTTTTCCTAGGGTATCGAGAGCCCATTACCAGTGCAGTGCATTCGAATGTTGTCCAATAATCGAGTATTGTATCCCTGGTCCACGATGTCGTCCGTCATGTCCATGGAGGCAGCTGGGTTTCGTATGCAGATGTATGATCACGCAGGTGACCCGTGAACGGACTCCCACTGGGGCATACTCTGCCCGACGCCGGACAAAATGGGTTTAGGTGGATAACTGACGCTGGAGATTGGACATGCGAGCTGATTGCCACACCTTGGCAGTTAAGCTAATAGTTGAGGCTCTGGTCGACTGGTGAAGCAGCAACTCCTCAGCCTCCTCTTACAGAAACAGAGGCATAATTTTACCTGCCACCCCGCCCGCATCTGGGATACACTCGGACTGGGCGACGACAGAATCAGCCGGACTGCGCGTGTCAAACGGCCCAAACCGTTGTGATCTGACGAAACGCTGCGCCTCGCTCCAATCCTTTCATTGGCCCTTTCCCCTCTTGTGTCTCTGTAATCTCTAGCCCCCGTCTCGTCCTTTGTGCTCGCGTGACCCATTGACGAAAGCAAACCCCGCAATCGCGTCGAGTTGCGCAAGGGAACTTGCCAATGCCGTAATGACTTTGCATCCGTGGTGGACAGCGCGCGTAGGCACTGCGACCCAAGACCCTCGAGTACAGCATTCCAGCAGGCGAGTGCAACATGGACGCAGGGTATGTTGTTTCTCTGTCTGTGTCTCTGTGTGTCTGTCTGTCTTCGTCGGTGTGCGTGTGCGTCTGAGACACTTACTCGTGTGGCGGCGGGGCGGCGTCAATGAACACAGTTAGTGTGTAGTTTCTCTCTTGCGGCTGCAGCCAGCCATTGGAAGTTTTTTTTGTTTTTTTGTTTTTTTTTTTTCGAAATGTTTCGCTGGGTGTGTCTGTCTGTCTGTCTGTCTGTCTGTCTGTCTGTCTGTCTGTCTGTCTGTCTGTCTGTCTGTCTGTCTGTCTGTCTGTCTGTCTGTCTGTCTGTATTCGTACTTCGTTACTCCCGTTTTGCGGATTCGTTATTTTACGATGATGATTCTTCTTCTTCTTCTGGCGTAGTATTCCTGCTCCCCCCCCCCCCCCCCCCCCCCCCCCCCCTTTTTTTTTTTTTTTTTCACCCGAAAACAAAACCAAAACATGCCACATGCCGGTTTTCTGGCTCCACGATTTGGGAGTTCGATTGCAGCGGCGCAGGCACGCAGGCAACTAACTGACTGGCAGGGCACGACACGGCTTCAGTGTTTACCGTCGAAATGATCGTGTCAAGGTCTTGCAAGGCCTTTTTCTTCTTTTGCTTTTTTTCCTCCTATTATTTTCGTAAATTTTTATTGGGTCCCCGAGTCGGCCTTTTTTATTGTCTTGGCATCGACGAAAGCGCATTATGGGCCTGCTTAACCAAAAAAATGAATTGGACAGGCGGTCCCGTCCCGTCCCATCCCACACCCCTTCATTCCGTTCCGTGATGGCATCATTTGTGTATTTGAACGAGCTCAGTATGTTACATACTTGTCAAGTCTCTTCGAAAAGTCCTTGTCTTTGCGTCGTCGTTTCATTGGCTTCTACATACATCTTTGACAGATTGAGTTCCGATATGTATACTAGTACTAGTGTAGACGGTAATCTCAACCTGGTTGTCTTCGATTGGTAGGGAAACAAAAAAGATGTGGAGAGTGCAGTGCAGGCAGGCAGGCAAGGCGGGTGGGGAACCAAGTCGTGGGTGGAAGTGAAAGTGTGCTGGGGCCAGCGCATGTTAGTTACCGTAATAGTACTTTGTACGCAATAGCATGGTGCGTTGTACTAGTCAACGTCAACTCTTGACTCCCCCCCCCCAGGCTAGTTTCTTAGCATGGCCTAGATTTAGTGGGTCGGGAAAGAACAAGCGTGGCTTCCAAAAACAGCGATAGAGACAGCGATGGAAGCTGAACGGGACAATGAGAAAATATTTTGACAATTTCGCATTGGATTTTCTAGTAAAAACCTATGGCTAACAACAAAAGTTTTGTGATCCAGAGCCAAAAAAAAAAAAAAAAAAAAAAAAAGCACAGCCTTCCCGGTTCTAATAGGTGTGGTATCCATGTGGGTTGAACAAAAATAAGAAAAGCAGTGATGCCGGCCGGTATTTGTTGAAAAAGCAGTTCAAAGAAAAAAAAAACCACAGAAACGCCATTCGGGAAATTCCTTCATGTCAATTTCCTCATCCGCCTGCCAGTCCCACAAAATTCAAGAGGATCCCTCCCGTTTCGTAGCCCGCTGCCAATGCAATGAGATACATGGGAGAGCGCATGGTCTGTAAGATATGACCTAACAAACAAAAGAAAAATAGGGGCTGCTCGGGGTGGTCCGGTGCGTCATTATGCCGCGTTCCCCACCACGAGAATTAGGAGCATGCCGTTGAGCACGCACGACGTGATGAAGGTGGTATACACGGCCACACGCTGCCAGATGCCGATTGGGTCCCGTCGGTAGATGGTCATCCCCAGACCGATGCAACCGCTAAAGAGGGAAGCGACGACACCGACCGTAACGCCAGCGTCGACCTCGGCGCGGAGCTTATGGCGGCCCGTGGAGATGAGAATGCTGGCAACGAGAAGCAATAGGAAGGACACGCCGAAGCAGCCAATGGTGCTCCAGAAGAGAACCCGTTCACGGTACAACCTCACTTGCTGCTCGTTAATGCTTGGCAACGCGGCGTAATGCGCGGCGTAGCCCGATGTCGGAATGCCATCTGAGCTGGCATACTCGTCGTCCGTATCAGTGCCCAGGGGTGAGATTCCGCCATAGCTTTCCAACAAGGGACCGTTGCCCCCCAAGAGCCGTTGTCCCTCAGGGGACTGCCGCCGCGAGAACCAGGTCCTGGCGTGACGGAAGGGTGCCGCGAGGATCGCACGCATCGAGTCCAATCCGGGAAAGCTCATGTCGTCGTCGGGGTTGATGTAAATGGCGTACTCGTCCTCCGGGCCTCCTGCTTCACTTCCATCGTCATATTCGTTCCAGTAGTGCTGCTGCGGCTGGTTTTGTTGACGGTGTGTTTGCTGCGGCGGCGGCAGCGGAGAAAAAAACTCGTTACCGGAGCCTCGGCGGGACATGTTTGGCTGCTCGTCGGATGAAGGCGAACTAGGCTCGCTCAGCTGCGGTGTGGAAGTGCGAAGGGTGTTGAGCAGTTCTTCGTAACGGGTTTGGAGTTGGTTGAAGTCTCGACGGGTGAAACTCTTGGGGTTAGCAAGTACGTTTTCGCGGAACCGCGCGCCGAGCGTGGGTGACCCTGTCCATTTCTTGACTCGTTGTCAGCGGGCGATAAGAGCGGACTTGTGAGACGAGGGATGGTTACCTTGTACTTCTTTGTGATCTTGCGAAAAGCGACAATCTGGGCATTGATGAAGCGGGCGAGTGCCAATATATCCTCTCCGCAGCGTAGCAGGTCTCTCTCATACTTGGCAAACCGGCGATGCCGCTTAAGGGAGATACGATCACCGTCTTCGGCGCATTTGACGATCAACTTCTGGACTTGGTCGGATACATGCTCTGCGATAATCTTGTTAGAGAATCCGCTGCCGTACAACTGCGAATTACCGTTGATGGAAACTTACGGAGGCGCCGGGTGATCTCGTCGGCCTTGCTCGTTACGAAAAGATCGACGCGGTCGTGCTGCTGGCAAAGCTCGTTGTAGAGATTGTCCTCGAACCTCTTGAGGGCGGCATCTTGGTGACCGGGGATTGCGATGGCGGTGGCCTGGTCGCGGGTCGTGTGGACTTTGATCTCGTGCTTGAGAGAGTTGTAATCGACGTTATCTGTATAGGGGGTGGAAGGTTCCAGTTAGTCGGGACTTTCTTCACATGCCAATTGGGCGGTGGGCCGCATCGACGGGGCAACTAACGTAGACTCCATTCGGGAACGGATTCCTGCTCGAGTTGTTCGCCGTATTTCATAGCCTCGAGGTCTTCCCTTGATCTAGAGGGATCGTCGCCAATTGCGTGAAGTGTAGGTTGAGATGTATTGGCGCGCCCGGGCAGTGGTTTTTTTTTTTGGTATTGGCGCGGGTATTAGTATCTAGTCGATTTGGGAGTGCCCGCGGGGATTGGGCTGGTCTCGAACGTGTGGCAGAGATAAGAGGCCGGGACTAGGACTGTGTTGGGATGACGCAATGACAATCACTTTGCTGGTCAATACGTGGCGTGGCGGGTGGGCGCAAGAGTCAGTTTAAAAAGAGATCGAGCAATTGAAGGACCCGGACAAAAAAAAAGACGGTTCTTAGTGCAGATGCGAGGGACGGGCTCGTTGTAAGAGGAATATGACTCGAATCGAGGAGGGAACTGAGGAAGGGGAGGGAAAGCGACGTGCGATGGCCTACCTTAAGAAAGGCGTAAAGTCTAAATATAATGGAGATTGGAGAGATTGGAGAAAAGGTACCATGTACTTTGGGCTCCGTACCTCCCCAAGGTAGTGGCCAGGACGGCGAACCAGGGCTCCTGCCTTGGTGTGGAAAGAAAAGGCGACATGGATTAGATTAGATGGAGAGAGGGGAGGGGGGGAGGGAGTGGTCAAAAGGAAGGGGGGGACCCGAGGCAGTGAAGGGTCTGGTTGCATGGGTGGGCTCTCTGGATCAGGCCGAGTCCAGGTTCAGTGCCCGGGGTGGCTTGCGATAGGTGCGATACGGCGACACGGTATCGGTGCTAGCGGCCCAAAAAAGCTGCCCGCTAGAAGTGGGAAGTCCATGAACCCGTTCCAGAGCTCACTCACTCAGCGTGTCGATTAACTGCCCTGGGACTAGGCAAGTTTCTTGGAGGGTGGCCGTCTTCAACGTCAATTGCTCACACCCGACTGGACAATTCTGTCTCGGCCAGTCAGGAACATAGTAGGCAAGGTCCCTGGCTCTTGAATGTGTTGGGGTCATTGCTCACGAATGAAGACGGAAGATCAAGATCGCTGTCTGCAGCGGCAGAGGCTGGTGCAGAAGCGTAAGAAGCAAAAAATTTAAATAAATAAAGGTGCGGTGCCTTGAATACGCCGTCTTGGCTCGCAGCAGTAGAATCATTTGGTGCATCAACCCCTCGCCTCAATGACGCCGGTAGGTGCCACATTGGTGGTCCATAGGAAAGTCTTGGCCAAGCCAGCTAGCACATCAGTACTCTTTCTGGGCAACGCATCACCGATTGACCTTTTGCAGAATAGAAGAGGCAAGTCTAAGCTAAGGCACGGCCTGGGATGCAATGTGCCATGCCTCGAGGAGGTATCCGCTCTCAGGGCTCCAGATTTAACATCATACTACTTGACTGCCACACTGCGTAGTAACGTCTAGGTAGCTGGTATCCTACACGTGCACTCGCTGGTAATGTCCCGAGAGGGGTGAACATTCGGGGAGGCGCTGCGCAGCAAGTGGATGGCCCAGTAAATGCACCCACTCCGGGTCTGAGGCCAGCAATCCTTCAGGGTCCCTCCTTTTTTTTCTTTCCCTTTCCTCTGTACCTCTGTAGAGGCCGCCAAGAAATGTGTATCAACGACTGCACCCAGATGCGACTGTGCATCCACCAGTGGTCTACTTCCATGTGAGCGCTGTGAGAGGTTATCGAGAGGTTGATGGTGTTTGGATTGACGCGGATTGTGAGATGGTTGCTACCCTTGCCGTTGCAGTCTTGCACCAATTGTCCAGGGAAGGTGATGCTTTGCCTGGTTCCTGCCCGCCTATGGAAGCTGTCTCGCAGCTGTTTCCGTGCCAGAGGTAAACTGACCGTATTCCTACCCTGCAAGGTGCAAGGCCATGCATGCACGCTCTTGCAGTTGCTGCAAGTTGTGGCAGGGAAGGCTGTCTCCACACTCCGACCCTCTTTCCCTCGTCCGTCCACGTCGTGTGTCAGAGAAGGATGTCCCCAGTCGCTGCCCTGCGATACGGGGACATGACCCCCGTGCCATTCCCCCCCTCTTCATGTTAGGCAATACTTGCTCATCTCGGCCATTGTTTCCATCTACGTTTTATCGTCTCCAATTCTCTGACCAAAACAACATGCATATTGGACTAGAAAGCCAGCGATGTTGCAACTCACGCCATGCAACTATTTAGCTCGCACTCACTCGTCGCTATCGTCAATCGATACCTTCTGCCAAACCCTGTCACCAAGAAGAACCAGATTGGCCCGGCTACTACACTAGAGCAGGAAAAAAAAGTTGAAAAAAACCTATTCATTTCTTTCCATGTCTTTTGCATTGCTACTATACTATATAGACCAACAGAGGCCCACATCATCCAATAGAAGTCACATCTTAGATGATAAACTTGCTTTCGATTTAGCCTCTGCAGCGCAGACACAGGCTCAGACCCAGTAACAGCTGGCCTAGCTGGCCTTACCGCCGTGCCTTTTTACTTTCCGTCATCCAATTCAGCTACTTTGCTCATCCAGCTACCACTCGGGCTCCCAGTGTCTGACGGAGACGCACTGTCAAACCCGAGAAAAGAAATCTGAGCCATACAGTGCTCTTGATGCTACTTCTGCACTGCTCATTTCTACCTTCGCGGTTGCTTGACATATGCCGTCTGGCGTGTTCAAATGACCATCTCGTCGCCGGTGCAGCAACTCACGTACGATTGACTTTGGCCTCTCCACGCCCGTTCGGGTTCGTCGGACTTGCCATCACGCCGCAACCTTGTCTCGTCTCCTCGTCTGCATGCACCTCAAGAAGAGCGGCAATGTATTATACCAGGACAGAGTTTGGCTTGCAAGGGCGCCTGACCTAGTCGCTCGCCATCTCGGCCTCCGTTAGATCGGCACGTACCAAGCCCAGCCCAGCACAACCTGGTCTGGAGAATGACCCGGCACAGATAAGATTTCAGGTTCCGTTCCCCCCTCTCTCGTAAGCAGATGAACCTAACTTAGTCAATGGGCACATGCTCACTTTCTTCTTTTGATAACTGGCTGTCTCACTATCACGACAACATAGACTTTCATGTCACCGCTTTGCTCCATCCTTCAAGTCTGACTGGCCGTGTCTCGGCTAAAAGCCCATGCTTTTACACCCCTCTAATTGCCAGCTACTAGCGAAGCATGCTCAAGTATCCCGACCAAATGCATGTACTACTGCACAGCATGCTCGTCCATTGCCTCATTTTTTTATTTTTTTTTAAACTGTTCCGCACATTTGCGTCTCTGCCGTCCTTGCGTTACTGGGTCTGTATCCTTGCCAGCCATTCGGCACCCTCCTGCTTCAAGGCCAGCTCTCAATAGGGGAGAATACCCGGAATCGGTGTGGGGGCCTCTTGTTCGTGTTGGAAGTGACCACCAAATCAAGTCTCGCAATAACACTTGGGGCAGCAACATTCCTGCATGTAACTCAAATACCGGCCATATCTGTCATTTCTCATCATGCATGGCGACTCCATACTTGATCAGTAACAACGTTGCGCACTCATCTTTGTCCCGCCAGTATTCCGCCCGATGTCCCCTCCAGGGCCTCCGAAGCGGACTAACCTGGTAGCTAAGCCGAGTCTATGAAAGGCCGAGCCGCTCCTACCACGTCGTCGACGGGGCCCGTTAAGCCTTTCTGGGCCTATCCAATGCTGAATAAGGATTCAGAAAGATTCTGGATTGGTTGGTAAGTTGGTTATCAAATCACAATTCATCAGGTAGTCATCTGCCGCCTTTCGTTCGTCCAACATCAGTCAATAGCACATAAGCAGCCACTTGTTTCTCCCCAATTCTCCACACTTCTCTATGTTGGAGATGCGGTGCAATGGGGCAATTGGTGATGCAAGTGCGCCCTGACCACCCTGCTTTTTCCCTCCAAGGGTCCAAAGTCCTCCCCGGCTCATGGCCCGCGAGCCGCTTACACCACATGCAACCTCCACTTTAATGCTGCAGTGGATCAACAAATGCCTGCTCTTGTATATCCCACGTGCTCGACATAAGAAATCTATTGGCCTCAACGACCTCTGCACCCCTGCATTTGCTATGTGAAAGTGCTGCAGCCGTGCATCATCAAGCGTCGCGATGGGATTTTTTGGCATCTAGCCCACTTGTGGCGGTTTGCTACCGATAGGCTGTCGTCCGTTCTTGCTGTCAAGACAAGCAAGAACGCCAAGCCGCGATTCGGCTCTCGTACAAAGTTGCTACAATACCACATTTGTATTGAAAGGCGTATTGATGAAAATAAGGTGATGGCACATGTGCCTAAAGGCCTGATGGGGCTTAAGTTGGCTAGCCCCATCGTTCACCATACGGTCTAGATACCTTGGTTGATCTCAAAGCCACCGATCACTGAGGTTCGAACTCGGATTGGAGCGGGAACAAAACAACATGTTTCGCCGTCTGCAGCTTCTGATTGCCTGCGGAATGGTGGCTCTCGAGGATCTAACAGCTCGCTTCAGGATCGAGACCTCAGACCCTGTTAACCGAGAGCTGCAGGGCCGTGGCCAGGTAATTGGACGTTTCCAGGGTTATCACAACGAGGTACCAGGGACTACCAGGGACAACAACGGCCCTGAAGACCTCAAGATACTCCACCATTGAAGGTGTTACGAGGGGGGGATATACCAGGAGATGTCCTCGCAGTTCACGGAGCCGCCTCTGCACGGATATCAAACCCCAGTCACAGGTGAAAAGTGCAACAGCAACTACAGTCATGCAGAAGTTGGCGGGGAAAAACAACGAGCGCGTTGGAGCCCTGGAGGGGTCAAACCCCCCAATGTCCCACCTGCCGGGCATTTTCGATACGGAGCACGCGACTCTATTCCGTATCCGTCACCGAGACATTCGTTGAGAAGAACCACAATCGTGGGCGGTTGGACATCCCAGATTAATGTCTCGCGGCAGCGGATAAGTGGCTGCTTGAAGGAGTATTTGCTCGCGTGCTCATCAACCACCCTCGGTCGCAGAGTAAGTGGAGTGAGCCCGTTCTGTGGGAAGAGAAGCAGAAAAAAAGGTTCCCAATTGCTGTTTTCGCATAGAACCTCGATTATCCGAAGCGGATCAACGGATAGTGACCCCCTCGACATCTTCCGATAATGACCCGCTCACACAGGTCTAGCCCCCCTGACCTGTATGGTGCTCTAGTCCCTCCATTTGGATTATTTTCCTTTTCATCAGCGTCTTGTTCCCGAAGCCCCGCAAGCAGCCCTCATTAAAAAGAGAAAAAAAATGAGGCCCAGTATTCGGACAATCCCATGGGGTTGAGTCTTACTGAGACTGGGGGTCAACGGTGCAAATCCCGCGCGAAGGCTCAGAGGTGACTGCGGATCTCCACCGCTAAGGAGACAACAACGTCTCCATTTCATTGAATGGTTGCCTCCTCAGCCGCTCTATACCCTGACATCGAAAAAAAAAAAAAAAAAAAAAAAAAAAAAAAAAGTCGACCCGTTGCGGAACGGAAGTACGGGGCAGAGAGTATCGCGAGCAACTCGGTTGACATTCACGGTGCAACGACCCACTCCAACACGGCCGAAACTCTCCATCCTCTCGCAGATGCAGTCTTATGCCGGGCCCCGACTTAGCAGATTCTTCAGCGGCGACAAGTGTGCCGACAAGCGTTCTCGAACCTGTTAACCTGAGAACGGGGGATCTGCAATAGACGTCCAACGGGGATTCTACCTTCCTAAAACTATCTAGAACTCAGCGCCAGCCGTATGTACATGACCACTGCAGACCATTGCCACAATTAGAAGGACCCTTATGGGCGTGTAAGAGTGTGTAAGGGTAGTTTGGACAAGCGGTGGAGAGTCTGGGCTGCGAAACCACTGCCCGAATAGGAGATTCCCTGCGCTAACCCAATGTATGTTGTCGTTTGGCTTTACGAATAAGATAACGCAATCGATCTGATTGACTACGCGTCGTCGCTTAGCGGTCGACGGAGATGCATGTGTGAAGGCGAAAGAAAAAAAAAAAAAAAAAAAAAAAAAGAAGAAGAATTTGCTTCCCCCTCAACTTCCAAGACCAAGAAAATGAAAAATGAGATAAAAAAAATTTCACTTTGTTCAAGGGGAGAAAGAAGAAAAAAAAAAGAAACACTATGCACCTGTCAAAATCTAACCAACCAATTGACTTGGCCTCTGTTTGTTGGTGCCAACGTTCTTTCCGCCATGCTCGGTGAGCCGAAGCGGCTCAAGTGCCCAGCACGATTGCCAAGATCCCGATGCCAAGCGCGGTACGATGCCAAGATGGGTTTTTCAGGTTCAACGTGTGGGTCCCGGGTGGTCGGTGTTCTGGGGCCGGGTTCTCAAGAGCGGGACGGCGGGGCAGGCCATTTTTACCCCCTTCCCCTTCCCTTGCTTTCCCTTTTCCTGAGGAGGGGGGAGGGGGTTTCTATCCTCTTGCCTGCCGCTTCGTCTGTGGCTTTTTAGCCGCTTGAGCTGAAATCTCTTTTTTGGGAGTAGTTGCCTCGCTTCGATGATGCCGCGCCCCGCGCGCTGCGGCACTGCAGTAAACTTCGCCTATTTTTTTTCTATCCTATTCCTTTACACTAGTGGTGATGCTATGGTTTAGTGGAGGGGGAAATCGTACGTGACTTTTCGACCGATGTAAGGGGGGAAAACGGGGGACCTGGGGGTGCTTTTGAGCTACCTTACCTAGGAGTTAAAGGGTCCAGACGGTTTGAGAAGAGCCGCTGTTGATTAAAAGGCCGCAACAAAGTGAGACATCGGGTGTTGAAGGGGAACAAGCTGGGCTCGAACGGTGGAAAAGTGGACTTTGTGGAATGGGAAAAGAGAGTAGATGATAATATCTCGGGTCGGGAATCGGGAGTTGGGTTTATTACTGGATTTGTTCATGTAAGATTGGCAAGGTTGGGGCTTCTGGACCGCTTTGTGAGTTGTAACGTTACTACGCGTGTTCTGGAAGTTTCTCTATGGCTTTAGTTTTGAGGCGAGAGGCATTTTGGCGACTTGTTGGTCTTCAACAGGGCGGCGATTGCCGTTCCCCTTTTTGACATGGTAGTGAATGCTGTTCAAGGTACATCTTGAAGAGGTCTGCAAGGGTTTGCTGGTTGTAGGCTTGCTTCCAACGCCGTTTCTCCCTTCAGGCAGTTTGAAATTTGCTCGTATAGACAAATCCTGGAGTTGATACCACATTTCAGACGATGGCAGCTTTGAACCCGTTGGGTTGTCTGGCTCATGACAGGTGCGAATCTTTAGCAACCAGTCTTCCGGTTGCCCTTGTGAAGCTGGCTTCTCGGCTTCGTGTGGGAGATGCTATGGCGAATGATAAGTGTGATGCTCGTTGGACGGTAGTCTATCTACGAGTTACCTAGATCGCCTCGGGGTAATAATCTGACGATTCTTACAATAAGGCACATAGAAGCCGCTTATTCTGTCGCACGGTGACATGAGCAGCATCCCTGATTTCAAACTTCACTCTCGCTCCTTGGTCGATTGCATAGTCAAACTCTCGTCTTGGCATACGTAACCCACGGGAATTTCCAACTCCCAAAACCCCGACTATAAGTTATTAGACTGTAACAGACACAGCCAATGAGAGTTGGTTCACCCAGTTCACAGCAATAGTACGTGGCCCGTGTACCGACCACGCTAGTTTTAGACATTGTCGAAAGCGGAAGTTTGCTTAAGAATCAGATCCCATGGCAGCTAACAAAGATACTGCACGAAATTACAGTTTTAAAGTTAGTTATATCTATAATACCATTTGTTAAGATTGTTCATGTGTGGACACTCGTTCCCAAGAAACTTTTTGGACACATATGGTGAGTTGGCCAAGCTATTTCTGGTATCTTGGATGGACGTTGTCACATTGATTAAGCCAAGTTTTTGGTACATGCCCCTATCACTATGGTGAAGAACCCGTTACCGACATCATGCAAATGCGTTTCCGTTACCGGTAATTTAAAGAGTCGACGTAGGTTAAGAAATCACGGGATGCCCGACGGGTCCTTTCGTTGAGATGCGACCAACCACCCGCCGCTTTTAGCTGATGGGAATTGCGGTGACCAGGCAGCTTGTAGGCCCCAAGTGGCAAAGGAGACTTATAATATAAGAATCGTTGACGAATTTTGATTCGCGAGTTCTCGTTGTTATGTTTCCTACCGAATGAAACTAGATGGATAGGAGGGAAGTAAACTGATAATTCAATATTTAAGGTTCGATCATCAAGTCGCCTCAAGTATCACCTGCAGTCATACAGATCAACATGTACCCTCAAAAAAATATATATATCTTCAAATGGAACACAGCCTCTGTCTAGCTGGTTCTGACAAAACCTGCGTCAAGTCACAAAATGCAACCGCTACAGCATTGCAGCCAGCCGAACCCATAGCAGTATTTCACACGTAAGCAATGTCTTTGCGTGTATATTCTCAGCACAAACTAATTTCAAAACGTTTTCCATAAGTCTAACGGTTTTTAGAATGGTCTTAATGCTACAAGTGAGTTTAGAAATTAGATACTTTGATTTCATAGTGCTATTTAATGCACTCACGGCAAACAGCTTTGACCAGTGCGATATATGAGATTTGTAATTAGTAGGCGCCTCGTAACTACCAATGCTCGTGATATAATTTGAGCTTTCTAAGTGATTGTAAGAAGTATTGTAAGCCTGTTGTTTCTCGGTCATGGCTGGGAAAGCTTTAGGGGAAGGTTTAAACACCGTGAACAGGTAAATTTAGAACACCGAAAGGTGATGACATGAAAGATTAAAGAAACAGATGTGGACAGAGATTGGCGCAATATAAACTGTCATACCCAAATCACCAGTGATCGGGTGTGAATTATGATGTATTAAATCACGTATCCAATCTGTTGAAATATACGAAGGCCTAAGCCCATAGTTAGGGACCATCTCATGAATAGACCTTTTTATCCCTACGCCACTGATATCTGGCTTTGAGCGTTTGATGGAGTCCCGAATTCAGGTTCTGGAAGAAGGATTTGCTCGACAGGCTTCGAAACAAGGCCACAGCCACTTTGACGGCTCGTAGATTCCGGAGCTGGATGGTGGCTCTCTCATGTTAGTTGATAAGTCGAGAAAAGACACCATAGACGCAAAACCAGATCCAATCACCAACAAGGAGCAAAAAGTAGGCAGAATTCTTGTCTGGCAAATTCCCACGACTGAAAAATGATTTTTGAGCCTTCGATGGAGCCAACTTATGGAAAAGATTGTGACATTTTTAGGCTTGTATCATAAAGCCACCACGCCTGCCAAACTTGGGGGATTTTGCACTGCCATCTGCTACGGTTTACATCCACTCTAAAACAGTCAAGCGACAGAGCAAATCATCAGCCTTGGAAAGACGATCTAAAGCCAGGCAAGTTGATAGCAATTCAGTAGCGTCTCAATATAGCAGTAGCTATGGTCTTCTCAAAGAACACCTTGGAACTCGGGAAGATGAACCCAAATTTCCTGGGCATTCCCCACTACGGATAACATTATGGCGTCACAATCAAAGGCATTCGACACCCAGTTGTTCAAAGCCTCAGGGAGCAGAGTAGCATTGCCCGGAAATTGGTTTACCCTTCGAGGATGACATGCTACATCAAATAAAATGCAAATCCTTGTGGATACGACTGAAAAAGGTGGCCAGAATATCATTAACCAAAAAAAAAAAAAAAAAAAGAGGACCACTAAAAGGGAGAAAGCAAAGTCGTATGCGAAAACAAATACAGGATCACGAGGAATTTAACTTACCATTGGCGTCATTGTGTGTTAGGTGAACAAAACTGGACACGGCAGGAACCCGGTGGCAATCTAGGCAACATCTTTCGAGGGTCGCCATACTTAAGTTAAGCTCGGGCCGGATGTTCCAGTACCACGGACTGCCCCGGTGAATATCATGCCTCCAAACACGTGCAGGTTCAGTTGATGGCTGTTCCCTAAATCTATGTTAAACAAAGCCCATAACTCACCTAAGGGATGGGCGGGGTCTACCGTTGGTCTGGCGAGCCTCTATTGCTCAATAGTAAGGGTCATAGCTACGCAGTTAGGACAATTTCCTACATAATCTGAACGCCTGCACTGCAAGTAAACTAAATTCTGGCACAATCTGGAATCTAACACCGATAATCTGTTATGCATCCACTAATTCTCATTGCTCGTACCTGGTCTTGTCCTTCCTGACTTTGACTCCTATCTCAAACCCCCATCAGCCGACTGATCCGTAAAATTTACTCCAATCGGGAAAATTTTGGCCCGTAACCAGGATAGATGTATACCGGGGAAGAGTAGCATTATTATTGTTGTCTACGAGGCGCCGTCGGCGGATCACCAAAATAGCGAGACGGAAACTCGCGGTTACGGGTCTCCTGTTCCTAAGCATGGTTAAGTAACAAGACCCCGCAGATTTCTATTCCCAAATTGCAAGCTTAGAGGCTTAGCATGACTCTATATGAAAGGTAGACGATCTCGAAGCTGAATACATGGGTTTGATTTAGGGGCTGCCTGGATTGGGCAATATGATCGTATTGGCCGATCTCGATACCTAAAGTGTTGTTCCATTAGCGTGGGGTTAATGATGGGCGCTTCGGCAGTTCAACAAAAGAAGCTACAGCCGGCTTGGTACAGTTCAGCTTCTGGTTCAATCAGATAGTAGCTGTAAGCGACTATATCCACTGATTGCCATAAATGGTCACGTATATTTGGGCTTGGGTCTTCGGTCGGTTTACCACGTACTATGTATGAAGAGCCAATCCGATGTTAGCGTCATGTTCGAAACGGAAATTTTGAACTACACCAATGAAAATGTTGACATGTCTTGTAGGCCGTTTCACGTTAATTCTTAACCCCGCCGACCAGCGTTGCATCCCCGGGGTCAGCGCTTTGGGCTCGACTCCGAAAACAAAAACAGGAGCAAGATTTCATCGGAACTACCTTGTCGTTATGATGCACATCATTACCACATGTTTCTTTTTCTCTCTCGAACGATTAACTACATAACACCAAAAACATGAGATGACAGATATTAGGAGTAGCGTGCAAGTTAAAGAGATTTTAACGAATTACAGAACACTTGCCTAGCGTTAATGCCATAAGCCGTCGAGTTAAATCGACTTTGACACCATCAAACTGCCTCGTCATTCAACCAGAAGACATCACATTGGTTGTGGAACACGCACACAACTGATACAACCCTTGGATGAATATATAATGTAGAGCGGTAGAAGCCAGCCCGTCAATGTAGTATTCATTGCTCATGTCAGACATATCGTAGAATCTCAGGTGCAAGCTGTGGAACGACGGCAATGCAATTCGGGACGATTGCATGCTTGGCATGCAATACGGGATCATCACGCCACCAAAAGTGGTTTACAAAGACCGCACATAGAATACGAATTGTGCCCCTTTACAGGCCATCTGCCCATCAGATCTTGGAATTACCTGGGGCCTGGGGGAGAAGCTTTAAACAGGAAACAGGCCCACCTAACTAGGTATAGGCTTTCTTATGCACCCCTGCACCAGCATGCCTAGGCCCTTCGAATAGGTGAGGTAACCCATTAGAGTGAATCCCGCCAAGGAAAAAAACGAATAAAAGAGGCCTTTGAGCTCCCAAACCTCGCCCCGCAGGCGTCTAATGTGTGGCTATGGTCTCGGAGAAATTGGCAAACCCGTTAGCTCCTCCTGAATATGTCACATCTGTCATCCAAAAAACGCGCCCACAAACAAAAGAAGTAATTTCCGGGGGGCGGATCAAGGACCCCTACATGCCCTCAGCAAGTAGTCACGAATAGAGTCCCCTTTTCACTCTATTCAATGGCGTTTTCGTCCGGTCTTGAGTTGTACTACAGGGAAGCTATAGCCAAATTGAGCTTATTGAAACCCCAAAGCTTGCAAGGTCAAGAAACATGGGGCATGGCAAGGCTTGAGATTGGATCGACTGTGGTTGATCGCTGCAAAGGGGTCGCAACCTGCTCTTGGCACCTAAGCAAAGCTCGTAATGATCGCTCCATCTTGAGCATCCAAGGAGGGTGAATAAGGGGACAGCATTCCCACCAACCAGCCATTATCCCATCTCCCAGTTTCTCTGTGCTTTGTCTGCTCCTCTCGAAGACATCTTCCGTTCTTTACCTGTCTCTTTCCACTCGTTATGTTCTGAGAACACTACACATTCTTTTCTTCTAAACCTCAGTTTCCAACCAAGAGCATCCAAAATGCTCGGATCTTCCATTCTTTTGCTGTCGTCCCTGGTGGCCGGCGCTTTCGCCGCTGCCCGGACCTCGCCCCCGTCCGGCGCCCTCGTCGTCGCCAAATCTGGCGGCAAGTACAGCAGCATCCAACAGGCTGTCAACGCCGCCAAGTCCGGCAGTGTCATCTTTATTCAGCCCGGAACCTACAACGAGCAGGTTTTGATCCCGGCTTCCGTTGGTGCTCTTACCATTTACGGTTACACCACAAACGACCAGGACTACTCCAAGAACCAGGTCACTCTCACACACAGTCTCGGCGCTGACCAAGCCGGCAGCAACGATGCCTCCGGCACGCTCCGCGCCAAGAACGATAACCTCAAGGTGTACAACATCAACATTGTCAACTCGCGCGGCAAGGGCATCCAGGCTATTGCTCTCTCTGCTTATGGTAACCAGCAGGGCTACTACGGCATCCAGGCCAAGGGCTACCAGGACACCATCTTGACGAACCAGGGCAAGCACTACTTCCACGGCTCTTACATTGAGGGCGCTACCGATTTCATCTTTGGCCAGAAGTCCGTTGCTTGGTTTGAGTCTTGCACGCTTGCCATCAGCGGTAAGGGTTACATCACCGCCAACGGCCGTGACACTTCGAGCAACCCCTCGTGGTACGTGATCAACAAGTCCACCGTCAAGGCCTTGTCCGGCGTCGGCGCTGGTCAGACCTATCTCGGCCGCCCCTGGCGCACCTACGCCCGCGTCACCTTCCAAAACACCAACCTCGGCTCCGTCGTCAACTCTGCGGGTTGGATCAAGTGGGGAGACAACCCGACCAACAACGTCCAGTACAGCGAATATGGCAACACTGGTGCAGGCGCCAGCGGCACCCGCGCCAGCTTCTCTAAGAAGCTGAGTGCTGCTCTGAAGATCGGTGACATCCTCGGCTCCACTTCTTGGATCGACTCCCAGTACACCAGCGGCCAGAAGTCCGCCGCCGTCTCAGCCGAGGTTTCTGCTCCTGCCGTTGCCGCTGACGTCAAGGTCTCCCCGACTACATTGGCCACCGTCGTTAAGGCTGTTGCTACTCCTGCTGCCCAGGCTGCCGCTGCTGACGACTGCAGTGGTACCGCTGATGGCTTTGCTTCCCTGAATGGCGGCACTACTGGTGGCAAGGGAGGACAGGTTGTTGTTGTCAAGACTCAGGCCGACCTTGAGAAGTACGCCAGTGCCTCGGGCAAGTATGTCATCAAGGTCTCTGGCAAGATCACCATCACTCCCAAGGGCAAGGAGGTCAAGGTTTCTTCTGACAAGACCATCGTTGGTATTGGAGCGACGGCCGAGATCGACCAGGGTGGCTTCAACGTTCAGAACCAGCGTAACATTATCTTCCGCAACATCAAGATCGGCAACACCTATGTCGAGGGAGATGAGGAGGGTAAGACTCAGGACTTTGACGGCATTCAGATGGTAAGACTATATCATAACGCATGGGATTGATTTCACCAATGCTTACAAGTGAATAGGACAACTGCACCAACATCTGGATCGATCACGTCCACCTTGAGAAGGGCGGTGATGGTCTCATTGACAGCCGTAAGGACACCACCTTTTTGACCGTTTCCTGGACCATCCTCCGCAACCACAACAAGGCCTTTGGCATTGGTAAGTTTACCTTCAGCATTGACCAAACCTCACGCGACACTACTAACATATCCGTTTCCAGGCTGGACCGACAACGTCAGCACCCAAATTACTATCCACCACAACTACTTCGACCAGACGAAGCAGCGCAACCCTTCTGTAGACAACGTCAAGAACGCTCATCTGTACAACAACTACCTGGTCGGTCAGACCTCGTACGGCCACTACGCTCGCGGCAAGACCGAGATGCGCATGGAGAACTGCTACTTCGAGAAGGTCAAGAACCCCATCCAGGCCGACAGCACTGCCAAGCTCAGCGCCACCGGCAACGTCTTCAAGAGCACCAGCGGCACCACCGCCAAGAACGCGGGTACCGTCTTCGACCCCAAGAAGTTCTACAGCTACAAGGTCGACGCCGCCAACGACGTCCCCAGCATTGTCTCCAAGGGTGCTGGTCGCCAGGCCAGCATCTGCGCTGCTTAAACGTGTATATGAGGAGTCGAAAGTCAGGGGAGATGCCTGGTTGCTTTCTTAGCGAGCTACGTGGAAGCATAAAGGCGAGAGGAAGCTGAATTTCTATGTATTTACTTTTACCGGCATATTGCCATCGACACCGTGTATATACTTGCACGCCAGAGCTGTTCATATTAACTACGGACATTGACATCAATGCAAACTCATTTCAGTGACATTAATGACTCCCATCAAAACTCTGTGTTGTGGATTGTTTAGCTTGTGATATATTCTAGACTCGGGTGAGTAATGTTCATGGCCAATCACGTGGTGAGGAGGTAAACTTTCTTCTTGGAAATGTGGTCCAATGCAATTGAACTTAATAGCAGTTGCGCAACTAGCTGCGTTGTGGATAAATGATCCTATCCGGGTTGTTGAACTAGCTCCTGAACGCACCTTTGTTCCCAGCAACTCATGAATGACGTTGTAAAATCAAGGTGCGAGTTGCGAAGGTTAAGCACGCAAATGTTCATTCCCGTTGATCATGTCTTTAATAGCCTAGTTTTGAATACATGTCTTTTCTAATTACTAGTAGACTCGGCTTTGCTTCAATCCCAACCGCAACAGTAGACACATGACTCGATAGCCGGGTATACCAAATCCAGCGCGAAAGAAGAGCAAAATCGCTCTACTGTTAAACTTTGTTTCATAATTGACACTTGCCGCTGTCATTCAAAACCTTTAGAGCATGGCGATTGCTACTTTGTTTGCTGCAGTCTAGGCGTTGAACGGCCTCATGCAAAAATTCGTCGTCGTCCAGGATGATGTCTGATTACATCCACACAGTACTTGTCTACCCCCACACTTGCATGAGAAAGTCCAGGTTCTGGAAACGGTAATTTACGCCTAGCAAGTTCTGGGACAGTTGCTGGACATTGATTCTTGGCTGGTATTCATTGGCCGCAATGAAATGTCCTGAGCTGAATCGTTCCATTGGAGGGCTTAGTACCGAGTCATTCGCCAAATGAGTTCAGGTGGTATATTGGTTCACAGCTCTTTTAGCAGTATACCTCAACTCAATTGCAAATCGACTGACATCGCATAACACCTATCAGCTACGTCTGGTTATTGCTGGGCGATAGACTGCGAATAAGCTTCAATGAATGGATTTGTATGCTTGAGATGCAATGAGACCTTGTCCAGCCAAAAGTTGCACTCCTCAAGTGCCAGTCTGCCCTGCAGGCATCGTACGACTCTTTGAGCCCGTTATGCTGTGTAATTCTGTAAGAGTTGGACTTTACTGTCAAGCGCACTTATGGTTGTCATTGGACGATATTTCGGCGGATGCTGCTGAGTAAGTCGAGTAAACAGTCTCCATAAGGCACCTTGATAGTTGATCCACAGGCTACAATTACAGACATAGGTGCAAGGAGGTCACAAAGATGACCTATCAGCATCCCCAAAGAATGTGATGCTGTCCTATGCATTACCAGAAATCAAGACACGACAGCACATCTCACCAATCGGCAGGCGGTGGACTTTCTCCTCTGGCTACCACTTTCAAGTACGTCGAGAAAACCTCATCAACCGTGGGATATCATTCAAACGCTACCAACCCAGCTTTTTTGGCTCCGTCGCGAAACGGCATTCGTTTAGTTCCGCTTTGAGTACATTACATCAGTACAATTTTCCCTCCCATCCATGCTATTTTTCTTTATTTCCTTTTCCCTTTTACAACTTGGAGAACACCGTCGGTACGCTTCCACCCATCTCGACAAGGGTGCTCTTGTTCCGCACCCACGCATCGAGACCCTTGCGTCCGTTCTCCACGCCGACACCGCTCTGCTTCCATCCGCCAACGGCCATCTCGGCCGGCGACTCGCCCCACGTGTTAACCCACGTGATGCCGGCCTCGAGCTGAGAGATGACCTTGTGGCACGCGTCGACATCTCTGCCGAACACGCCCGCCGCCAGACCCAGCTCCGTGGTGTTGGCGCGGCGAACCGCCTCGTCGACGTTGTCGTACGTCAGAATGCACATGACGGGGCCGAAAATCTCCTCCTTGACGATGGTCATGTCGTCGGTGCAGTCAGTGAAGACGGAGGGCTGGATCCAGTGGCCGTCCTTGAGTGCGGACGGCAGGCCCTTGGGCTGGCTGGTGCCACCGACCAGCAGCGTCGCCTTGTCCTCCATGACGCCCTTGCGGACGTAGCTCTGCACCTTCTCGAGGTGGGCCTTGCTGTTCAGGGGGCCGAAGTTGGTGGCCGGGTCGAAGAGGTCGCCCGCGCGGACGTACTGCATCTTCTCCAGGATGACACGCTCAAAGTCGGCCTTCATGGCCTTGGGAATGAAGACGCGCGTGCCGTTGGTGCACACCTGGCCTGAGCTGTAAAAGTTGGCTAGCATGGCACCGTCTACGGCCTGCTCGACGTCGGCATCGGGGAGCACGATGACGGGGCTCTTGCCGCCGAGCTCCATGGTAACGTACTTCATGCCGCCGGCCGCGGAGCCGGCAACCTTCTTGCCGGTGCTCACTTGGCCGGTGAAGCTCACCTTGGCGATGTCAGGGTGCGTCGTCAGCGCGGCGCCGACCTCGCCGGCACCGTAGACGACGTTGAAAACACCATCAGGAACACCGGCCTCCTTGTAGATGGAGGCGAGGTACTGAGCGTGAAGAGGAGTGAACTCGCTGGGCTTGTAGACCATGCAGTTACCGGCTGCCAGGCAAGGTGCGGACTTCCAGAGGGCGATCTGGATGGGGTAGTTCCAGGCACCAATGCCTGCGCAGACGCCGAGGGCCTCCTTGGTGGTGTAAACCCAGGCGGAGGATCTCAGGCGGAAAGACTCGCCGTTGAGACCGCCGCTGGCGACGAGGTTGGCGAAGTACTCAAGGACATCGGCGCCGGTGACGACGTCGACGTATTGGGTCTCGGAAAAGGCCTTGCCGGTGTCGAGGGTCTCGATCTTGGCCAGCTCGTCGTTCCGCTCCCTCAGCAGGGCAACGGCCTTGAGCAGGATACGCGAGCGCTCGATGGGCGGGGTGCTGGACCACGAGGGGAAAGCAGCCTTGGCCGCGTCCACGGCGGCGTTGATGGATGCCGGCGAGGTGGTGTGAATGGTGCAGACGGGCTTCGCCGTTGAAGGATCAATGGACTGGAAGGTGCCTGGGGATTCCGAGTCCGGTTGCGGCTTCCCCGCATAGAAGGTGTGACGGTCCTGCTCTTGTGGTGCCATTTTTTGTGATATAAAGTTGAGCTGGTGGAGGAATATAATGGGACTGAAACCTCACTAACAGAAAGTTACGAAAAGGAGAAGGAATGACAACTGTGGATGAAATTGGGGGGTATAGTTGTTTGGGATGATGCAGGAGCAGCAGGTAGGAGATAGGGTAAAGAAGGGTTTAGCTGCAGGGTGGTTTACACCGGAGAATGGGCAGTTCGGTCGGACGTTCGGATCGGAAGTCAACGACGGTCACGGAAGGCTGAGGCTGGTGGTTAGTGAGAGCGTGGGAAAAAAAAAAATCGATACAGATCGGTGCAAGATCGCGGTTGCGCGGAGGGCCTCGCCGGTCAGCTGACAATCGAGGCTAAACTGGGGCTGTAGGCCGGGGGTTCCAGATTTGCCGGGAGGCCCCCTTGTCGACCCGCTTTCTACGGCGGTGTGATGTCATGATCAATACGTCATTGGATGGAACTCCACTTCAATGCAACAGTCCCCACAGAGGAGCCCTACCAAAGGCCACTCAAAAAGGAGTGATATGAGCTCCACTGCAGAAGTTTCAGAACTTGAGGATCGAATATTGGAAAGAAAAAAAGAAAGCAAAGGAATTCCGGGTGTTTGGCTGCCTACGTTTGATAGATCGCTGCAGCCATGGCTTGGTAGTCCAAAATCGTCCCGGGTCCGTCCGCTAGGATCGAACGACATGGCGGCACGAAGGGACTAGGTTATCAAGGGTTTACAAGGGTCCAAGACGACGTGTTTCGGTGGTTGGCTGGTGAGAAAGGAGGGTGTCCTGTAAGCGGACAGGAGATACGGCGTAGAGATAATCAGATACGGCTACGCCGAAATGTACAGATACAGAGATAAGGCGAGCAGTAAAGTTTCAGCCTTGCATATGCCGAGATATCTCCCAGCCTGGACAAAAGCATGATGACCAGGCGATAGATAGGGCGGTTTGGGGGTTCGTCTACTCGGTCGTCTTGACATCAGACACAAACAATCTTCTGGTGACACAGTCTTGGAACTCGGCGACACAAGATCAAGGTCAACGTTGGCTTGGCATGGAATCCCGGGCTGGACGGCGCGGCGGATGACCCGGATGAGGTCTACCGCGGTAAACGATGCAGCACGCAGCCACTCGTTTGGTGCCACCTCACCAAGCGCGAGGCAAAGTCAAGCAAACGACCGAATCGTCGTCGTCGTCGTCGTCGTCAGAGACAGGGCCCTTGGCAACGGATAGAATCCGAAGGCTTAGCGCAGGTGACGCATGGGACACATGGCAGATTGGGGAATGTCGAGTGCAAGTCTTGCATATGGCCCTGGCAACCAACAACGACACCGCGGAATTAAGTTAATGCACGCTTGGCGGCGGAAAGGAAGACACTCAAAGAGAGGGAGAGAAAAATCTGTCGTTTCTGCACTAGGCATGTAAAGCGCTTAGAGAGAATGGACTGAATATGGTACCGGGCAATTACTCGCGGGGTCAGCCAGACAGAGTCGAAACGTCATGATTGGTCTGTGCCGTCGAGTTGCTTTGCGGCAGTTAGCGTGCTCTGGCCATTATTCGTAATTCCAATTCAACTACGTCGGACAGTTTCCACTTAAGTGGACATTTTCAAAGAACTTGGCAATCCGAGGCCACCATCAAGGATGGAGGCAGAGAGTGTGTGCTGGTAAGTAGCCTCACAGTGCTGACACCTGCCTGCTTGCCTTCCTTGGCTTGCTGGTGAAGCGATTACACCGTGGTGGTTGCCCAGCTGTGCGGGAGAAGGGTGGAGCACGGGACCTCTACCTACCAATCAAGAGCAACGGATGTTAAATATTCCGGGCGTGACTTCTTTCTGCTGCAGTGGCGACAGGGATGGCAGGCCTTTCCCAGGGAGTAGGGGAAAGATGGGGTGGGGACCCTGCCTTGAGGGGCCTGCAAATAAGCGGAAACAGGGAGCCAAATAAAGAAGAAAGAGAAGGAAGGGAAAAAACAAAAAAAAGGATAAAAAAAAAAAAACTGGACGGTTGGCAGCAACTAAACGGCCATTGTCCAATAGGCTGTCGCCTCTTGCGCTGCCCGGACTTGGATGCCGCTCGAGCACGGCGAGTCAGTTACAATGCCTCAAAACCCGCTTTCCCTTCAGGGCCCCGCCACCCACTTTCGCGGGGTCTGTATCCACCTTCTTGTGCCTGTACGAAGGAAGGTACTATTACGAAGAGCTCCTGAGGGGCCCTAGACAAAATTTCTCAACACAATTCGGCCGGTAAGGATAGACCAGCTTTGAGTCTACGTCTCCGAGGCCATCCTCCGTTGATAATAAGACCCGGTTGTCCTCTTTTGATCGACAGGATTCCGATACAAGCTCTTTCTTTCTCCTCCGTGTGCCTCCTCGGTCCAGAAATCCCCAAAAATCTCACCTCAGACCGCCCTCGTGCCGAGTCTTTTAGTACATACTCATTCGGGTTTTATATAGCTAAACCCTTTCCCCTCAACCACTCATTTTGTATACTGGCCGGGCGCCTTTCTGTTTGAGTATCACCACCCTCCTATCCTACGTCGATCGCCAAAATGTCCACCACTCAGCTCCCCGTCTCCGACGTCGACAGATACGACTATGTTGTTGTCGGCGGTGGTACCGCTGGCTGCGTTATCGCCTCCCGTCTGGCCGAGGCCCTGCCCCAGAAGCGCATCCTCCTGATTGAGGCTGGTCCCAGTGACTTCATGGACGACCGTGTGCTGGACCTGCGAAAATGGTTGAACCTTCTTGGCGGCGAGCTCGACTACGACTACGGCACCACTGAACAGCCCATGGGTAAGCTCTCCCTTCACGATCCCCCCATTAGCTCTGACATGGGTTCATCCCATCGTGAGAGCGATTGATTGCACGTCAAATGAAACTCACACCAATCGCGCGCACAGGCAACTCTCACATTCGTCACTCCCGCGCCAAGGTCCTGGGCGGTTGCTCATCACACAACACCCTCATTTCCTTCAGGCCTTTTGAGTATGACCTGAAGATCTGGCAGTCCATGGGCGCCCATGGCTGGACCTTCCACGACTTCATGCGTGTTATGGACAAGCTGCGCAACACCGTCCAGCCCGTCCACGCCCGCCACCAAAACGAGCTCTGCCTCGACTGGGTCAACTCCTGCAGCTCCGCCCTCAACATCCCCATTCTCCACAACTTCAACAAGCACATCGCTCAGGATGGCGCTCTCAAGCAGGGTGTCGGCTTCTTCTCCGTCTCCTACAACCCTGACGACGGCCGTCGCTCCTCCGCTTCCGTCGCCTACATCCACCCCATCCTCCGCGGCGACGAGCAGCGCCCCAACCTTACCATTCTCACCAATGCTTGGGTTTCCAAGCTCAACGTCAAGGGCGACACCGTCACCGGTGTTAACTTGACCCTCAACGATGGTTCCAAGCGCACCATCACCGCCAAGAAGGAGACCATCCTGACCGCTGGTGCCGTTGACACCCCCCGTCTGATGCTCCTGTCTGGTATTGGCCCCAAGCAGCAGCTCAACGACCTCGGCATCCCTGTCATCCACGACTTGCCTGGTGTCGGTGAGAACCTCCAGGACCACCCCGAGTCCATCATCATGTGGGAGCTCAACAAGCCCGTCCCTGCCAACCAGACCACCATGGACTCCGACGCTGGTATCTTCCTCCGTCGCGAGCCTCCCAACGCCGCTGCCAAGAAGACTTTCTTCAACCCCAACGGCATCCCTGACGGTGACATCGCCGATGTCATGATGCACTGCTACCAGATTCCCTTCACCCTTAACACCGGCCGTCTCGGCTACGACGAGCCCAAGGAGGGCTACGCCTTCTGCATGACGCCCAACATCCCTCGCCCCCGTTCCCGCGGCCGTCTCTTCCTGACCTCTGCCGACCCCAACGTCAAGCCCGCTCTTGACTTCCGCTACTTCACCGACGAGGAGGGCTACGACGCCGCCACTCTCGTCCACGGCATGCGCGCCGCTCGCAAGGTCGCCGAGCAGGCCCCCTTCAAGGACTGGATCAAGCGTGAGGTCGCCCCCGGCCCCAAGGTTCAGACCGACGAGGAGCTGTCCCTGTACGCCCGCCGTGCCGCTCACACCGTCTACCACCCTTGTGGAACCACCAAGATGGGCGATGTCCGCAAGGACCCGCTCGCCGTCGTTGACGAGCGCCTTAACATCAAGGGCCTCAAGCGGGTCCGCATCTGCGACGCCGGTGTCTTCCCCACCATCCCCACCATCAACCCTATGCTTACCGTGCTTGGTGTCGCCGAGAAGGCTGCCGAGTTCATCATTGAGGAGGCCAAGGAGACTGCCCGTCTGTAAAAAATATCACCACCAAAAGGATTATGTGTGTGTGAAAAATGTCACAAAAAGGAGGATTGAATATTTCAAAAAGCATCTTGTTGCACTTTGTTTAAACGTTAGAGCTAGCTGTCAGGCATTATACCAATGATATCACGACATGACCATTTATGGCAAGCAATTTTTTTTTTCTTCGTCTTCTCTCTCTCCATCCCGTGATGATGTACCTACACTGTATGCGCAGCATAAATGGTGACTGTGCCGAGGCACGCCGAGGAAACCCACATGAGCCACCATAGAGCATGAAGAATTTTCTTTTTTTGTTGAACTATTCTCAAACGCCACATGTACTAGTCCATCAAACCATTGAGTGGATGCAAATCGTTCAACCAAGGGCAACTCGCACCACGATGTCGTGGAGCTCCAAACGTTGGCCTCAGGGGCCGGGTGATAATCCCGGTATATATCCTGGATCGCAGGACACCGCCAGCTGGCCCAAGTGTGGAAACTTTTCTTTCCATGCGCTCGCTCTTCTAGCGTAGCTGACCTAAGCTGGAACGATGGAACGATCGATCCCTTAACCAGAGCTGGTTGGTTTGTGTGGTTGGTTCCTGGGCGTGGCTGGCTAGTAGTGTATCTACCTAGTTTTCCATCCCGAGAGGTCCACTTTCGATCGCATGCCGAAGGACGTAGCCGAGGAGTTCCCCCGATATAGAAAGACCCCCCCCCCTTTTGTGATGGGCAGGATTCCTACTTGAATAGGAATGAATCGCATCCTACGGATTCTGTAAGGCTGGTTGGATCTGCCCGGTTCGCGGACATGCGCGTGTACTGCCATTGGTTGGGGTGAATGGAGCCTTGAGTCCTGTGGCGGGTGACTCCGTCTCTCCCAATCAAAAGGGTTTTCTTTAACCACTGGCTTGTTTGGTCTGGGGTATCGGTTAATTTCATGATTGGCGGGGAGATTTGCTGCGAAGATACGTCTGTTTTCTTAGGTTGTAGGTATACATTATGGAATCTGCAAGTATAAAAGTAGTAGGCAGCGGGCTTCGTTCTCCGTTTTTGGTCCTTGTGCTGATGGTATTTAGTCAGGAAGTAAGCGGAGTATCCCGTGGCTCCTGGCAGTGGCCTTCAATAAGCCATTTCTTTTTGATGGGATAGCCACTGACCCTGAGCTGAAGTTGATGCCTCAAGTTGAATTAGAATGGAGGGAATGCCTGTCTCGTCACGTTCTAACTGGCTTCTTTTTGTCCAACAGCAGGTCTACGCTAATACGTCGGAACATTAAGCCGGTAAGGGTCAAGGGATGCCGGAACCACGGACAACTGTTCGCTGATTTCGCGAATATAGCACCTAGGTAGGTATATCAAGGAAAGACATAAAGTAGAATCATACACTGCGCATACGAGGATTACGGAAATGCGAGAAACTCAAAGCCAAGCGCTTGTTATACACGATCAATAGTCAATCTAATTCCAGATTTACATATTTAATTAGCTGAATAAAGCCACTCTTTATTCAAGGCCCCCGTTCACCTATTCAACAGAAAGCCAATCACGAACAGTTGGCTGTGCCTGCTCCGAGCGGTATACATCCGTTTCCGAGGACTTTACACGGGTTACTCTGTTTGGCGTTACCAAGTTAGTAGTCTATAAACACCTATCGACATGTTTGGAAAAAAAAGAGTTACTGACCTCTCCACAAGCTAGGGCATTGTTCTCATTGCCATTCTCAAGGCAAAGTCCGTAGTCGCCGGTGCCGACGGGAAGCTTGCAGTTCTGTAGAGTCGTCAGCAAGAGAGCTGTGGTATTGGAGCAGGGATTCTTCTTCGTACCCAGTAGCCAAAGACTGAAGGAAGGAAACAGGTGAGAAGGACCGCTTGCAACTTCATTGTTCCTGATTTTGCAGATGAAACGTAGGCGTTGTGAGGCAAGAAAGATGGCTCGAAAGGCTCACATTATAAGGGGTAAGAACGGGCTTTAAATACAACGAGATACTGTGATTGTCACCTGTCACAATCCAACTTGTGGGCCGATCATGCCAGGCAGCATTCCATCATTGGATTTTAAATACATGAAACGAACTGGCATATGAAAGCTGCATCCTGGCTATACTCCTTAAAGATCCATGCCTATTGAAATGAACAAAGTTCTAAAGACGGCTATGCGGCTCTCCATGTGGTGTGCGACCCGCTTCTCTAACAGCAACTTCATGTGCGACGCTGACAGTGATCGTCGCTAACCCTGGCAGAAACTGATCTACCCTCCACAGCCACGAGTCATCGAAATCGATAATTCCATGGTGCGCAGCGTGAGGCCCTTCGAATAAGGGAATTCTCCCCGTGATTGTTGCAGTTCCCTCACACGTTTTGGGCGACCTTGGCGCACGTGGTGGCTATGCGCCGGGTAATGATATAGCCATGGTCCTGTCCTGGTGACAAAATACGTATATTGTTCTTCTCGCGCGTATCGCTCCCAATTTCGTATACATATATATACGTGACTTGTGCACAGATAATCGGTTCAATTGCCACGATATAGTCTTGTCCCACTAATTAGCCTTTTCGATATATTGCGAGATGAGGTTATAGGGAAGCACCACTATGTGGACAACAGCTACCGCCTTTGTTTAAAAAGAAGCTCTAGGACCTCCACCACTTAAAAATAGTCATGGAAATACAATACATTTGTAATGATACCGGGTTTCTTTTCTTTCTTAATTACTTCAAGCCCATTAACGACGCCTAGACATGCTGATTCCGAATGTTGAGATTTTCCATCCATAATTGACGTGACTACACAGACAACACCCATCGTCCCATTAACTCAGCCTTGGTTCCCCCTGAATCCGTCAGGATCCTCAAAATTTCCCAGTGGGAGCTGTGGGTTAAGCGGTAGACTCCAATCTCTCATCTGCAAGTATCCCGCAGACAGCCAGTCGTGGCCGCCGAGTGATAGGTTGGCCCATTCGCCTCCCACATCCAACATGGAAATGGGCAAAGTGGCCGGTGCGGTGCCCGTGTCACTGTTTAAACCAATTTCCGCAGCCAAGGCCTGCGGGCATGAAATCGTGGTCGTTGCCGGCGATGAACCCTGACTGTAAGCCCCCGACGGACCCAACACCACAGAGGAGGCGACTTCATACAGAGCTTTGACGATGTGGTACACAGCCACGTTCTGGTGGTTGGGATCGTAACTCTCGAAAAAATTAAGAACCATTCTGATCAGTTCAAGATCGTGCAGTGACGTGGCAGACGTCTTGTGCTCGAGGATGTTGACGAAAAGGATATCAATGCTCCAAACGACTTGATATAACAGATAGCTATTCTGGTTAGCATTTTTTTTGGGGGTCCAAAGGCAATATCGCAAATGGGGGGGTACTTACATGGTGAATGGATGCTGCAGGCGCTGATATTTCAACAACGAGATCGCCGCCCTCGCTGCGTTAACGCACAGTGCCACGCTCGGCTGTATTCCGTCCTCGTCCTCGTCAAGCAGCGGCAGCCTGAAGGCCGCGGAATGAATGGCGACGACCATCTGGAAATACATGAAGTGCAACACGCTCAAGGTCATCTGCCTGGCATGTTCATCATCCAACAATCCCATCGACGGCTCGGGCCGGATCAGTTCCGGTATGCCCTCGCGCCACTCCTGCAACTCGGCGTCAAGCAGTCCAATCTCAAACTCCAAGGCAGCAGCTGACGTGATACTTCCGCCCTGAGAGTAGAGCTTGGAGTAAATATGACCTTGGATCTGGGACAGCCGGACCTGCTGGTGAAAGTAGCTGAGCGCGACGTTGCCGGGGAAGTAGTACACCCCATACCCGTCCAACGGGTATTCTTCTGGTAGTTCGACGAGGAAGTCGTCGCTGATGAGAGGGGGCTTGCCGATGCGTAGCATGAGGTCATGGTCCAGCACGTAGGCCTGCCAGAATAGGCGGCGTCGGTGCATGTACTCGTCGGGCGGTGCTGTAGCCTTGATGGGGTGGTCCGGGTTGTGGTAACCTGCTAGAAGGATAAATTGTGTTGCAAGAGCGAGGATAGAGATTGCGATGTGATTCTCGGCGGAGAAGACGAAGTGGAGAGCCTGCTACGAGTAAGTACGGAGACGGACGAGATCTGAGAGAGAGGGACAGTTGAGTACTATTAAGAGGAGGGCTCCTATTGTCGTGGGATTTGGCGGCCGAAGTATCGCTTCGGGGATCAAAGCCAGCGCATTGTTGAGGTAATGCTCGTACTCGCGGGAGCCGCAGGTCCAGTCACGCTTCTTGAGCGTGTGCGCGAGGATGGCGTTCAGTGCTAGTTTCCATCCTGGCTCGTCGAACGGCTGGCCATACATGTATGCCTGAACTGCCGCACGAACTTTGGACTCTTGCAGAAGCCTCACCCCAGAATTCAGATGTTGAAAGAATTCTATGAGACCAAAAGTCAGTTGACATCATCACACAGAGGTGGAGGCGCGACCTACCATTCATGCACGATATGATGACATCGTTCGGCGGAAAAGGGTAATCCTTGATAGACGAAGCGAAGTCGAGGCTTTTTTGGGGCGCAACGGCCTGTACCCGTTGCAAAAGACTCCGCACCGCGTCTGAGAAGCGCGTGTCACCAACCAATGCGTCGATCTTGGCGATCCCCTCGTTAGAGAAGAGTGAACATGAGCCTTTTTGCACTGGTTAGAAGGATGCACCGAGATGGAATGGCTGTGGGAAAGGAAAATGGGAGCTTACCGGCGGTTCCGACAGCGTCTTCAGAGGCGGCTGCTCCGGAATAGTACGCCTTTGTCGTCCTCGGCGAACTTGCAGCCGGCGAGGGCGGAAGAGCCGGTGAGGTTTGAGTAGAAGTGGTAGCGAGAGCGGCGGCGAGAGCCGCACGACCTGGCTGAGAGGGTTTGGTACTGGACGTTGATTCTTCTGGCGTCAAAAGTGGTTGATTCTTTTTGGACTCTTTTGCTGGGGCCGGCTGCTTCGGCTCCTGGAGCTCTTCTACTAAGCGCTCCATCTGCGCCAGCCTTGTGACGATGTTCTCAAAAAGCCTGCGCCCCGAAAATTTTCAGCATGTTAGCTAGGCGCCAGATGAAATTCACATCAATGCGCGTTTGATCATCTTTACTCACTTTTTCTCCCCCCGCCTTGAGGTCTTCTTCCTCTCTGGCCAGACGCACTCCCCACCAAATTTCTCACATCCTGAACAGACCGGTCGCTTATGATCACACTTGACCTGTGAATGCCATTTGAGTTAGTCTCAGATGAGAAGTGATGCGATGAAAGTGAACTGCAGAGATCCAACACCAACCTTTCGACTCCTGCAAGCCGTGCACGACAGAGAGATAGCCTTGGAAGCCGGCTTTTGAGCCTCCGATGTTTGTTGCATCGTACTCGGCCGGGAACGGAAAGAATAATACCGAGGGCTTGATGGGCCAGACAGTTATGGAGAATGAAGTTGTCCGGTACAACGGGGGAGCCGCGACGGGATAAGAACAGTACGGGCGTGCTCGCCCGGGCCTACCAGTTTGCCCGGCGCGGCTTGACCGGTTTCGGTTCTCGCGGACAACGTAAACTCCGGCGCTAGGCCGGGAGTAGTACCCAATGGCAGATTTGGGAATGGAAAAAATAGGTTTTAAGACTGGACTGCTCGCTGATCCGCGCCCCCATTTTACTTTCGGCAAATTCTGTATCGTTGAAGTTGATTGGTTAGCCCACCGGCTTTTATCTCAACTTCGGAGGGTTTTTAGCTTTTTAATTGTCAATAATGAGTCATTACTGCCTGAAATCTCCCTTGAGTCATCAATGTTAACCTGTTTTTGAATTACTAATTTCCTGTCTGGCTTGGACTTAGAGTAGTTGGCTTGTGCTTGTAGTACACAAGTGGGTATCATCGGCTGTCTTGTTCTCGGGGATTACAAAGAAATCTACAACACGCACAGACGTTTTTTATGTTGCGCGATAGCTGAAAATCACAACAAGAACACCAAAGATGTCCTTCCGCGAGTCTCTCACTTTATACGACATCTGCGAGTTGTTTCGAGTCTTTAAATACTTTGCATTATGTTTGCTACTGATGGATTGCGATCAAACGCTTACAGGAGTGATGGATGAATTCAGGGCAAAGCTTTGAACGTTGATAGTAATGTCTAATAACAAAGGTAAGGACAGAAATGGAACTGAAGAATGCGAAATCCTGACTTAAACTGACATGCCACACTCAATATTCACCTTGCACTACTATCCATCCTGGTTAGCCGCCAAACTACACTTTTTTAGTCGAGTTACGAGGTCCTCATCTTCTGTTAAATTGTCCGGCTTGTGCAATATACTATCAAGTCGTAATTTCAGATCTTCTGACTGCAGACCTTGGTCCAGTGCTTCCTTGATTATATTCTGCCATACTTCGGAAAAGGACTGCTTCCAGTCTTCAACGAAAGCCTCTGCTTGATCTTTAGTTCTAAAATGTTTATGACAAGCGCCTTTCAAGCTATCAGTCTGTTCCTTCGCCCCACCCTCACCACTGAATCTCGTCAACAATAGGTACTGTTTGTGAATTGTTTGAAGGAGCACTTACTACCAGTACGCATGAATACCTGGCTTTGAACCATATGCAACAGCGTAGAATGCTTCACTGTTCCATTCCGGTGTGGTTGGAATGTTTCCGTTCTTGATAACCTCCTTGTGTTCGCTCGCACCTAGCCCTTTCAAATACAACCGAGCCTTGTCAATCGTATCAAAGCCTTTGAATTTAGCGTGGCATCCAGTCACACGAGGATGAGCATCTCCCCTGTTTGTAATCAGCTTGTGTCTAGATTGTAGAAGTACGGACCCAAGTTGTACCATGACGAAAATATCGTAGGCTCGTCGACACGCCCTTTGAATACTGCGTAGTATTCCTTATTCTTACGCTTCGATACCATACTTGGGATCCTCGATAGTATGAAGGAGCAGTAACTGCATATGCTGTCTAAGGTCAACTGAGAGAGCAGCAATATTGGTCGAACTATGGCAGAGCTTTTATCTTGATGCTTTGGGATAAATTGAAAAAAGCCGTGGGAATATAGCCTGCTCACTTGGGCATGTGAAAAAACCAGTGCGGGGAATGGTGGTGTGTTGTTTGCATCACCCAATCCTGCATTCACGCCCGACTTGTGTGCTGACGCCTGTGCATCGACAAAAGTATTCGTTGATTATTGGAGTATATCCAAGTATACTTGAAGCCTTGGAAGCTATTTGAGGTTCCCAAATGCAATTAAAGGAGGCATTTTGGGCGCGAATATAGTTGGGCTTTAAGAACGATATCACGCGTTCCCGCTTCTAGCGAGAGATTGCCGTGCCTAAATTGTCATTTGGCAGCCCAAGATGGCGTGCGAAAGAATATTCAGAGACTGGTCGCGAATCGCTGCGGATCCAAGCTGGAAGCCAACATGGTTATTGTTCAATAGGTATGTTAGAACAACAGCCCTATGGTTCGAATGTTTTAACGCTGTTGACCCCAATAGTGGTCTTGTTTACATTTCGATTAAATGTGTCACAATACATGAAGCTAACACTATCGTCTTTTACTCTCTACTGGTAACTCTGAACAAAACTCTTCAATCCCTTGTCGCCAGTAACGTGCCCTGTATATACCTTACTTCACACTCCGTTTCTTCACGACTTTTTTAGTCGTTTAGTTGTCAATTGCCATTCTCAAAGTCGATGATTCGAATTTCCTACCATATCAGCAAGGCCACGTACACGCCTTACGAGCATTACACCCAACCCGTTTGGAAATTCACTAATTTTTATTCAAGGCTTGAATACTCTGACGTCAGTGGCCATATCATGGCTGTGCCAAGAAATTTATACCGCCCTTAAGAACCCACCCGGGTGCCCTCGCTTTCGCGGTTGCATTTGACTCATCAGTTCACCATGAGAAGTAAAGTGAGCCTATGACCGGCAGAGGCTCAGTGTAAGAGCCTAAGCTGGTGGTGCGGGTTATGGGGGCGAAACGCCCGCCTTCTTCTGTAGGCCAACCGTGAAACAACGGCAAGAATGGTGAGATACTGTCCTTTTCTTCTTCTGCTCTTTTTTTGGCATTCCATCCATTCCTCTTCTTGACTAGTAGTGCTCACGGACTGTTGTTTCCAACAACCAGTAGGCCTCTCGCATCATTTGCTCCGCCGGAGACAATCATCCATTCACTAACAATCACTAGCGTAAGTCCGCATTCCCTAATCCATCACAATCTTAGCATCTTTCCGAGAAGTATGTAAATCCAATGTTCTGTAGAAGGCTAATTTTACATTCTTCCAGCTACATCTCTCCATCCATGGCTGGCCCGAGTATTGTAGGATAAGAGTGTTCGTATGGACAGGGGTCATGATTGTCATGCGACTTCATCAGATACAAGTTTTTCCGTTATGGATGCTGTTATTTCTCATTATAAATTGCCGGAGGCTGTCAATTACTCTTAAGATTCTACTTGTATTCAATAAAAGAAATCGTAGCTCACTGCGTATTGCCCAGTCCAATGTAGGTGCATGCAGGCGTCAATAACCGAAGATGAAGAGCTTTTAAATGCTCGTCAAATTGGCAGAAGCGGCAGCCCTAAGGAAGAGACCGGAATTTGAGGGAAATTCATACCGATCGGCTGGAGCGGGGAATTATGTTTGGCATGACGCAAATTCCTAGCAAAGAGTCCACCCCTTGGGAGATCCGCGGGAGAAGGCAGAAATTACATCATGCAAACTCGGCTTCTTTAGAAAAGGAGAATTGAACCAAGACTGGAATTTGATTCTCAACGCAGAGACATATTCGAAAAAGCCAGTACTTCCCTTTATAAATTTCGTTTTCCTACTATCTCACAAACTACATTATCATTTTCGACCACTTTCTCGTCTATTCAATTAATGAGTGAGCAGATGTTTGTTTTATTCTTGGCAATGGCTTCAGTTATCATCTGCTCTCATCGTTCACAATTCAGTCGCCAACTCCCTGCCTTTTGCCTCTTCTTTTTTCAAAAGAAAAAGTAAAGAAGAAAAGAACACCGGCACTCACTCCGAGACTTTCCAAATTTCTATCTGGGTGCTGTAAGATAGAGGCGCAAAGATGATTTGGGCAATCCAAATGGCGGTTTTGGCCTCTTTTTTCTACGCCGTAGTTGCTCAAGATACCTTGAACAACTTGGCGTCAGCGGACCCATTGGGTGGCGTGGGCTTTGTGCTTACTATCGTGGACGACATAGAGCCTAACAGCATCAGCTCTACGAGCTCTTTCAGCAATCTTGTCCCGCCGTCTTTAAACTTACCCACGCTACCCAGTATTTCCAGTACCACTTCATCTATTAAATCTTCGTAGGTAGCTTCATATGACCTCGTGACGGCCAACGTAGCTTCATCTACTAATTTACTTACTAGGAGTTCATCCTTGTCTAGTTCTTTGAACGACAGCACCACTGCCAATCCCACCAACCCCATCCCCGTCAGGACCACCAATTCTGCGAACATTTTCAACTACAATACCAGCAGCTTCACTACTCACTCCCCAATCACATCCACAAGCGCTTCCACCAACGCCAACGCCACCGCCACCATTGGTGCCAACAGCACAGGCTTCACAATTCCTACAGTGATAACCACTGGTGGCAGCTCTTACAACACTTCAACTATCACCTTTACTCCCTCAGACAGTAACACAGAGAGTACTACAACAACGTCCACTTCCATTAATAGCGCTTCAGACAGCTCTGCTACCACCACCCCCATTTCAAGCAGCTCTTCTACCATAACCACCAGTAATTCCAGCAGCTCTATTTACAGCAGCTCCAACAGTTCTACTATCTCCAGTAGTTCTAGCAGTTCTAGCAGTTCTAGCAGTTCTAGCAGTTCTAGCAGTTCTAGCAGTTCTAGCAGTTCTAGCAGTTCTAGCAGTTCTAGCAGTTCTAGCAGTTCTAGCAGTTCTAGCAGTTCTAGCAGTTCTAGCAGTTCTAGCAGTTCTAGCAGTTCTAGCAGTTCTAGCAGTTCTAGCAGTTCTAGCAGTTCTAGCAGTTCTAGCAGTTCTAGCAGTTCTAGCAGTTCTAGCAGTTCTAGCAGTTCTAGCAGCTCTAGCAGTTCTAGCAGCAGTGCTGTAGGTTTCCGTATATACATCTACGTAGAGACATATATATTGACTGTGGTTTAGGTTCCTGTCCCTACCCCTTGCCCTATTGCTGCTGGTAACTACTTTCTACAGGCTGTAAGCCCTGGTAACTCTGTCATCAACAACAAATTTGCCGTTGCTCGAAATGGCCAGTACATTGGTTTCACTGCCAACAGCTTAAACGCTGAAAGATTCACATTACGGTCAGATTGCACACTGGTCGTCTCCGTCGGCGGTCAACCTTTGCAGGCCCTTGTAATTAGTCGGGCATCTGCTACGAACGCAATGCTTTTCCCGGACGTTAGCTCTGGTGAATCTATATTTGGGGTTGCAATGGAGGCCATACTATGCCAAAAGTATCCTGACGATACTCTCGGTTGCACTGCCTCAAGAAACAGAAGTTTATTCACGTTTGACGTAGGTAACAACTTACTTGTGTTGGTTGCTCCGGATAGTACGACGAACTACGCCGAAATAGCCACGATCAAAATGACACCAGCGCCCTGAGCACCATCGATGTGATATTTAGATATTCTTTTAAACAGTTTAGTATCGGAGCATCTTATCAGTAGGACGCATGCCAGGGCAGAGAATGTCTCAGGATGTATCAGAGTGAGTCACTTATACTAGCAGTTTAGCTCCGATTAGATACCTTTGCAATTGCGTAAACTCTTCTCTCTTTAGTACTGATACTATTCAGATTTATGCTCTTGGACGCTCTATTCTTTGTTTGACAGCGATATTTATGACAAAAAAACATAATTGACAGTTTGCGTTGGCTAATTGACATGAGCCCAACTGACAACTCAGTTTTGGGAGCTCCAAATATGTTCGAATACAGGCAACGAAGATGGAAGAAAAAATCAGCCCATAGGCTCATACTAATTTCTGAAGCTCCTAGGGGAGTATATACATGATAGAAATGCCCTATACCACCAACCCAGGTCTTTTGGGTCACTCCCAGCTTCAAATACTATGATGTGACGACTACTATGTTCACTGAACACAACGAGCAAGGAGTGTTTATGCAATTCCTCTGAAATGAGCCCCGTAGACGTATGAGTATACGCTTTTCTACGCATATCCTCTCTTTCTAAACCAATTAACTCTTTTTCACATTTTATAGCCTGCTTCCTATATGACTAGGTAGTTCGTCGTATAGGGAAGGTATGTCTCGTCTGTTGCCTTAGCTGCAGAGAGAAGCTCTAAAAGTGGCAAGCATCCATCCATCTTGCTTATTGTCGGCGTGAAGGCATCAACCTTGAATTCTTAGTACCCAAAGCTCTATGAGTACGGAATAAACAATACTAGAGTTATATGCAAGAAGATAATAGTTTGTGAATCTACCCTATCCTAAACGGGCGAGTAGCCCAGCCGATAAAAAGACAGCCTGCTGAGGGGGAACCAACCCAGGAGTGCAACCTGAAAAGGAAACTAGGTTATATGCCTCCTTGAACTGAAGAAGCTTCATACTTTGTTTTGTGAGTGGTGACTGGGAGTCTATCTATCACTCATATGCTGCTCCTCTGAATTGAGACTGGCGATAGCGGCGCTTTGGTTTGGTGGATGTAAGGCGAGTGTGCGGCGTTTTTGGTCCGCTGTGGGGCGCTCAGCCCCAATCCATCATGACTGTAGTGAAATTCCCTTCACCGGGATGCAGCAGGGGGGGGGATTTAGGCGGCTGACTGCTGAAGTGGGTTCCTCTGCATACCAACAAAGCAAGAGTAGTCACCTCGCGCAGGATCAGAAAACAGCTAGTCCTAGTCTCGCTACACAACCAACGACGCTGGGTAATCCTCAGGGCCCGAACGCCAGGGAAATACAATCAAGACTTGTTCGTTCACCGCACTTACCCGCTTCTTACAACCAACATCTCAGTATGGCTGAGCCGTTTGAACTTCTCGGCCTCATCGGGGTGATACTCCAGATCTTCGAAACAGGCGCCAAGTACGGGTTAAACTGGGAAGAAGCCCCAAAAGAGGCGCGCGCTTTTAAGACTGAGCTTGAATCTCTGCGAACAGTTCTTTCGGAAACCAACGCCAACCTGGTTCTCAATGCAGGTTTCAAGGCGGCATTTGAGGGACGAAAGTCCGCGGTCCCATCACATGACGTTGCATCGCCCGAATACAGTACTGCAAACCTCCTCCTTGCATGTCGCAAGGAGTTGGAGACAGTTGTAGAAAAGCTAACAAAGACCGCCGAAGGAGATCGCTTGGGATGGAGCAGGCTGAAGGGGGCGTTTAACGCGGAGCGAACGCATTCGGCTGTGGAAGACTTGCATCGACGTTGCCAGGCGCTCAATAGCCTGGTACTAATCGACAGCGCCGAGACATTAACAGAGGTTCGAACAGCCAACAACGCGCTCGAAGATCAAAGGCGGACTAAGGAAGAAGCACAAATTCTCAATTGGCTGACGCCCTCCAACCATGGACCCCAGCTGAAAGACAATCTTGACCAGCGAGAGCTAGGTACCGGGCATTGGCTCCTTGAATCGCCGGAATACCAAGGCTGGGTAAAGGCTGACAAGCAGACTCTCTTCTGCCCCGGTATGCCAGGCGCCGGGAAGACTATCTTATCTTCAATCGTAATCGACGACCTGCACCGGAAGTTTCAAAAGGACTCAAGTGTTGGAGTTGCATTCATGTTTTGCAACTTCAGACTACACGATGAGCAGACCCTGAACGAGCTTCTGGCAAGCCTGCTGAAGCAACTTAGCCAAGGGCAAAAACCATTTCCTGAATTGGTATCAGAGCTCTACAACAAACACAAAGGCAGGAGTACACGACCGTCGACTGATGAGATGATGAAATCACTTCAGGCTGTAGGGTCATCGTTGTCAAAGGCTTACATTGTCATTGATGCCTTGGATGAGTGCAGTGCGGAACTTGGATGTCGAGATAAACTCATTTCCGCGATCCTACACTTACAAAAAGTCTGCAATATCAACTTATTCGCTACATCGAGGTTCACAACGGCCATTGCCGCCTCCTTTGAAGTCAAAGTTGAACTCGAGATCAAAGCCACCGAGAGCGACGTCAGGCGATACCTGGACAGCCATATGTCGCAACTTCCCATGTTCGTGAAGAAGAACACCGATCTTCAAGAGGAAATCAAGACTCAGATCACAAAGTCTGCTCATGGAATGTAAACCTCACACCTTCTTACCTTGATTCATGTTTCGTACTACCGCTTACAGGCTCTTTAGGTTCCTCTTGGCTCGTTTGCATTTGCAGTCTCTGAAAGGCAAGCGTTCTCCAAAGGCCATTAAAAGTACGCTGGCAAAACTTTGCTCCGGCCCTGACGCCTATGACATCGCTTACGAAGAAGCTATGCGCCGAATCGAAAGCCAAATAGAAGACCAGACCGTTCTCGCCAAAGACGCATTGTCGTGGATCGTATGCGCCAGGCGGCCCCTGACCACGGTGGAACTACAGCACGCCCTGGCTATAGAGAAAGACACAGCAGAGCTCGACGAAGATAACGTTACCGATTTGGAAGACGTTGTTTCAGCATGTGCTGGTCTCGTCTCGATCGATAAAGAGAGCGATGTTATTCGTCTAGTCCATCACACAGCCCAGGAATACTTCGAACGCACCCGCAGCCGTTGGTTACCTGGGGCAGAAAATCTCTTGGCATCCTCATGCATCACATATCTGACTTTCAAAACACCCGAGGAGTCTTCCGACTACTACGACATCTTCACATATAGAACACTAGATAAGTTCAGTCCGCTGTACGACTATGCGGCCAGAAATTGGGGATACCATACCCGCGAACTGTCTGTCCCATGCCAAGACACACTCAGCTTTTTGCAAAACCAATTACCCTATGCAGCTGCATCGTTCGAGTTAGTATGGGAAATAGATGTTCCGTATCAACTGGGCGGCTATCCGACGTCGGAAAACATAAGCGGTTTGCACATAGCGGCATACTTTGGTCTCAAATCAGCCTTTATTAATTTGTTGGAGGTGGCTGATCCGCAGGTAAGTAAGAGCCGGTCACTCATCTCTCGGAACGTAACAGCTAACTAGTAAGACTGGTCTGAATATCAAGGACAGCCGGGGTTTCACACCCCTTGTGTATGGCATCCTGGGCCAGAGCGGAGACTTTTTACGATTTCTCCTTGCGCTATACCAAGACGAATGTGACAAGGCGACCAATTTTAAAAATTGGAGACCGATATTCTTTGCTACCGCCACCGGGAATGAAGCCGTGGTTGACAGCCTCATACAAACAAACAGAATCAATATCGATCCGATTGATTGCGACGGCAGGACGCCCTTGACATTGGCTGCCAAAAAAGGCCACGTTACCATAGTCAAACGTCTGATGGACACAAACCAGGTTGATGTCGACTCTCGAGATAGACTCGGCCGAACTCCGCTGTCTTACGCCGCAGGGAGCGATTGTATTGAGATAGTAAGGCTTCTGGTACAGACAAACCGGGTCGATTTGAATTCTCGAGACGACCATGGCCGAAGCCCCTTGTCGTATGCTGCTGAAGAAAGTCACGTTGCCGTGGCCAAGTATCTACTGGAGACAAACCGGGTCGACGCCAACTCGCGAGGCCGACGAGGTCGAAGTCCTTTATCGTACGCCTCGACAAAAAGCAGGGACATATGCGAGCTTTTATTACGGATGGAAGGGGTTGAAGCTGACTCACGGGATAGCCGAGGCCGAACTCCTTTATCGTATGCTTCGGAATGGGGCAAAAAGGGAATCTGCGAGATGTTGCTGCAGACGGGAAAGGTTGATGCCGACTCGCGAGATTTCCGAGGTCGAAGTCCTCTATCATACGCTTCGGATGAGGGCCACGAGGACGCATGCAGACTCTTACTGCAGACGGGAAAAGTCGAACCCGACTCTCGAGATCAGCAAGGTCGCAGTCCTCTGTCGTACGCATCGGAGGCGGGCTACGACGAGATATGCGATCTTTTAATACAGACAGGAAAGGTCGATGTCAACTCCCGCGATAACGAAGGACATGGTTGCTTGACGCGCGCCGCAAGTGGAAAGTATGAGGACGCATCGAGGTGCTCGGAAAACGTCTTAAAGGTTATTATACTCCAGTCAAGCGAGGCGAATGTCGACTTACCAGACTCCTCGGGCCGGACCCCCTTGTCGTACGCCGCGCAGAGTGGCCACTTCAACTTTATCAAAACTCTCATGGCCACGGGGAAAGTCGATCCTAACTCAGCAGACGTTGACGGGCTCACGCCACTTTTTTGGGCTACTCATATGGGAAGACAGGAAGTAGTCGAGTACCTGCTCTGTGAAGGCAAAGTTGACGCTAGTTTATTCAGAGTGGATTCGGAGGGAGAAACGCCCTTGGATCTTGCCGTGAGAGTCCTAAAGCCAAGTCATCCGATTACAAAACTTCTTGCAGAGAGAATGAAAGCCGTTAAGAGGAGAAACACGGAAGAACTGGCATGATTTGGCAGAATATTTGCCTAGAAACAGAAGAACCTAAACAACACGGTCGAAGTTGACTGAATAAAACAAGCGCATCTACACTTGCCAATGACCTTGGTTCTGTAAGTAAAGCTGTTGTGTAGCTAGCATAATAACTGCCTTATGACCCATGGTTGCTGACAAAACCCAACTTCACAATGTTCAGAAACACAATTTGTTTTTTATGGTATAATAATGCAATGTTTACTAAGGAAAGTCTGCTGCTTCAGCTGCTAATTCTAATGAAAAGAGAAAAAAAAAAAAAAACTCAGACTGTGAGCTATGGGAAAAAAACACGAAAAGCAAATGACATTAAAACTCCCAATCCAATGATTCCAATCTCATCCTCCATCCATCTCTCTTTCTCTCTCTCTCTCTCCATATTTCCGTCTTTGTCAAATCATGCCGCGATTTCCAGGCGGGTTTCATAAGCGTACACACGAAAATAGACACTAGACACTCACTCATAACAGATATAAAAACAAAAGCTGATCCAGCATTGTGGTCTGGTCGCCCTTGTCGTGTCGCCCTCCGTGTGACCCCTCATATCGGCCCTTGCCTCTGTTTCCCTGGTTCTGTTTACCAGCCCAAATACGCCCCCTATTAATACTTCCCACCTCCCAATCAAAAAATGGACAATCTAGTAATACTGCTTTCCAATCTTCATCTCTTCATGCATTGTGCTGTGTTGCTGTGTAAAATGACAAAATGCTGCTGCTGCTCATGTCGTCTTTGTCTAACTGCTCCAGTCGAAGCCGACGCAAAGCTTGCTCTTCTTGCAGACGGCCTTGGTGAGCGTCTGGATGCTACCGCTGGAAAGCAATTCAAGGACCTGCATGTTGGCCTCGAACTCGCGGGTAATGAAGTTGCGGATCTCGATAGCGACGAGGGAGTCCAGAGGGTAGTGTGACAAACTGCGGGTGACATCAAGATCCTCAGTTTCCATCATCAGGACGGCGGCAATCTTCTCGACCAGGCCGCGGCACACAACCTCCATAGCCTCGGCCTCGCTGCGGGAAGCCTTGAGGGCTGCGTTCAGAGACACGGCACCAGAACCGGCCTCGGCAGCGGCGAGCTCCTCGGCAGCCAGACGCATGCCCTTGAACTTGGCGTCGGGCGTCCAGAACGGCTGAACGGTAGGGGTGATGCGCATACCAGTGATGACATGGTGGTTGCAGATGGACGTCTTGCCGGAGATGGAAGCTCCCAAGAGAGCGAGAACCTCGGCCTCGCAGATGGTATCAGAGCCCAAGTTCTTCATGACCTCGGCAGCACGTTCAGCACCGCTGTCGGCAACATAGCCGGCATCGGAGACAGCGGTAAGATCAAGGGAAACAGCGGGCAGACCCTGGGCGAGACGGTGCTGGACGAAGGCGTTAAGGAAGCAGTTAGCGGCTGCGTAGGCGGCCTGGCCACGGTTACCGACAGCGCCGGCGGCAGAGGAGATGGCGACGAAGAAGTCCAGAGGAACGTTGCGCTCTTGCAGGGCGTTATGGAAGTTCCAGGCACCCTGGACCTTGGATTCGGTGACCGAGGTATAGTCGCTGTAGGTCATCTTCTCGAAAAGGACATCCTATGCAGTGTTAGTTTTATGCCGAAATGGGTACAGAGTCAGTATAAGCAAACTTACGCGAAGAACCATGGCACCGTGGATAACACCACGGACAGGGGGCAGACCCTTGAGACCAGTGTTGAAGAGCTCATCAACGCTGGCCTTGTCGGCGACGTTGCAGGGGCGGACGGTGATGTGAGCACCCTCCTCCGCGGCCTCGTCAATGAGCTCCTTGACCTTGCCAGTGGCAGAGCCGCTACGAGACAGAAGGACAAGGTTCCTAGCACCGTGAGCGACCATCCACCTGGACATGCTGCGACCGAGACCACCAGTACCACCGATGAGGAGGTAGGTAGCGTCACCCTTGAGCAAGGTCATCATAGCCTTGGAAGGAGTGGCCATGACCACATCGGTGGGGCTGGGAACAACGACCAACTTGCCGGGGCCCTGGTTGCTTTGAAGCGTCTTGAAGGCAGTCTCCATGGTAGAGACAGGGAAGACGGTTGCAGGGTCGATAGGCCGGAGCTCATCGTCAGCGAGAAGCTTAGAAACATCCTTGACGAGTCTCTCCATGATCTTGGGTCTCTCATTGGCGAGGCCGAAAATATCAACGCTCAAGAAGGAAGCATTGGTCTCGGCCTGGCCCATGTCCAGGCGACTGGCGCGAGAGCCATCCTTGCGGCGGACATCGACAAGATATCCGAAGCGGCTGAGACAAGCCCAGCTCTCCCTCAAAGCGTCAGCGCCAGGCAGGGTGTTGAGTACGACATCAACACCCTCATCGTTGGTTGCGCGTCTGACAGCGGCTCTCCAGGTGGTGTTGCGGCTGTAGAAGATGTGATCCTCAGGAATATTGTAGTGTTGCATGAGGAGCTTCTTCTTAGCTGCGGAGCTAACAGTGACAAACACCTCGGCGCCAATCATCTTGGAAAGGCAGACTGAGGCTTGGCCAATGCCACCACCGGCAGAGTGAACGAGCACACGCTGACCCTCACGAAGGCGAGCCTGTTCAATCAAGCTGTAGTAGGCAGTGCAGTAGGCAAGAGGGAGGGTGGCAGCATCCACGAATGACATCTTGGGAGGGATGGGCATAACATTGGCGGCTGTGGTGCGAGTGCGGGTGGCATAGGCACCGTTGCTAATGGTAAGAGCGGCAATGCGGTCACCGACCTTGTGAGACTTGACAGCGGAGCCAACTCTGGTGATGATACCGGAGGCCTCAACACCAAGAGCATGCTTGGAAGCGTCAGGAATCTGGCCCTTGGCGAGCATGACATCGCGGACGTTCATACCGACAGCCTTGACCTCGAATTCAACATCCTCATCACCAAGAGGCTGGGTGACAGAGACATCATCAACAAAGTGAACAGTTTCAACAGCGCCAGGGGTGGAGAACTCCATCTTGAGGCAGCGGTTATCCTTGCCAAAGGGCTGAAGCTCGACAATGCTGGGGTTAGTCTCACGGTGGACGAACTCGTTCATCTCCTCGTCGTGGACGATGCGAGGAGTGAAGAACTTGCCAGAGCGCTCCATGAACTCAAGCTCGCTGGTGGAGGAAGCATTGGTGTTGAAGGCAAGCTTGAAGATCTCGTAGATGACAGCGGAAGCATCATCCTCATCCAACTTATTGGTATCATCCAGATCAAGAGTGGCGAAGGGAAGGACAGCCTCAGAACGGACACTTCTGCTGAGACCAACAATCATGTTAGACTCGGGAGAGGTGGCCTTGTCATAGGCACCACGGACGACCCAGAGGCAGCCCTGAACACCGGCAATCATGTTGCGGATATCAGCGAACTGCTCCTTGGTAGGGTTGGCCAAGAATGGCTGCTCGATCTCGGTGAGCACGATGCAGAGCTTGCCCTCGGTGTTGACCTCATGCAGGGTACCCATCTCAGGAAGTCTGGAAGTGGAGCTAGCCAGTGCAATAGCCAGACCGTTCGCCAACATCTGCTGGGAGTTGGACTCGCCGTGGATGATAGCGAGGTCAACATCTGGTAGAGGGGCTTCAACCTTGACTCCGTTGGACGCACTCTTCTTGGCCTTGCCGGAGAGAGACTTGAGGTCACCGATGGCCTCCCAGTCGAGCTTGTAGCAAAGCTCACGAGCAGGGTTGTTGCCCAACTGAGTCTCGCCGTCAATGATGGGAGAAACGGTAAGCTCGTCAATCTCAATGACCAAGTCCTTGGCCTCGTTGGTGGCAAAGATGGAGACCTTGGTGGGGCGAACCTCGGTGGCAGAGAACTCAGCCTTGGCATAGGCCTTGAGGGTGCTGCCGGCCTCCTTGGTTAGGGCGGTGATATCACGAGAAATACATATTCTCGCAATCGATGATGGAAGGTAGACAGTGTTGATGTCAGTGCGCCCAGCGCCCAGAATGGGCCAGTACATCTCAATGAGAGACTCCAAGAAGGTAGGGTGGAGGACAGTGCTCGTCATGTAGTGATTGGGCATGTCATTGGCGATGTCGGCGGCAGCAATGCTTCCAACGGAGTACTTGTTGGAGGCCTTGCAATTCTTGACACCTTGGAATGTAGGGCCGTAGCCAACGCCAAGCTCAGTGAGGCGCTCGTACATCTCAGTCTCGTTAACGGAAACAGAGTCAGGGCCCTCACTGGCATTGATGGTAGCCTCAGCGCCACGGCGGGCAGCGAGCTTCTGCTCCTTGCCGTCGACCTCGTTGGTCTCGGTACCATGGAGGGCGATGAGACCGACGCAGTGCTCAGTCCAACCGCTGCCTTGCGACCAGGAGCAAATGCGGAACTCCTTCCAGGTCTCAGAGGCAGTAAGGTTGGTCTCCTGATGGGGACGGAGGTTGATGGTCATCTCAACATCAGTGTCGTTCAGCGCCAGAGGCTTGATGACAGAGACATCTCTCAGCTCAAACTTCTCGAATGAGATCTCCTTACGCTGCGCCCACTGAGCGGAGGCTTCAAGAGCCATACCGATGAAACCAGCCATGGGGAAGACAGTCAAGGACTGGATCTGGTGATGACGGAGCCAAGGAAGATCGTCAAGATGGACAATGTTTCTCCAGGTAGGCTCAAGGTCACTGGAGTAGATGGCCTCGAGACCGATCAAGTCGTTTCGTGGAGACTTGCGGTACTTGTGCATCTGAGTCATGCGAGACTCCTGCCAGTACTTGTTCTGGTAGTTCCAGGCATATCGAGGCAGATCAGTGAGCAGGGATGGCTTCTTGGTTGTGTTGGGGAAGTTGATGGCGTCCATGTTGAGGATGGCACCCTTGGTGATGACACTGCACGCCAAGTCCATGGCAGATTCGCAAGCGTCCTTCTTGCGGATAAGAGGAGCAGCATAAGGGATCTTCATGGCGCTGTCACCAACATGCTTGAGGATCTGCTTGATGGGGCCCTGGAGCGCAGAGTGGGGGCCCAATTCGATGATCATGTTGACACCGTGCTTGTGGTCACCAACGGGCTCCAGCATGGTCTCAAGAGCCTCAGAGAAACGGACAGCGCAGGTCAGGTTGTTAACCCAGTAGTGGGCCTGGCACTCGAAGCCATCGATCTGGTGGCCATAGAGAGAAGAGTGGAAGCGCACGTCAGTAGTGCGAGGGTGAGGGAGCTCAGAGATGGACTCTCTGTACTCCTTGGCAACCAGGTTCATGTGGTGAGAATGGTAGGCAGTCTCAACCTGCAGACGTCTGTTGAACATCTGCTTCTCCTCGAGGTTCTTCTCAAGCTCAGAGAGAGCTCCGGCGTCACCGGAAATGGTCAAGCTGGAAGGGCTGTTGTAGCAGGCAATTCTGACCTGCTGCTCCTTCAAAGCGTCAATCATGGGCTGAACTTCCTCCTTTGTGCCGCCGACAGCCATCATGGCACCCTGAAGTTCAGGGTGTCTCTTCTTGAGGATGGGGATGAGTCTGCCGCGGTGGTAGGCAATGGCCATGGCGGCGTCGAAGCCAATGATACCGGCAGCGTATGCCGCTCCGATTTCACCACTGGAGTGGCCAGCAACGGCCACGGGGCGGATACCCCAGGTGCGGAGCAAGTCCGTCAACGCGAGCTGGACGGCACTGCAAGCGGGCTGACTGATGTGAGCCTCAGAGACCTTGGAGGTCTCGGCGTCCTTGCTAAGCTCCTCCTTGAGAGACCAGTCGGCGCCGAGCTTTCTCAGGCACTCGTCGGCTCTGTCGATGGCGGCGGTGTAGACAGGGTACTGGCCATAGAGCTCGCGGCCCATGCCGTACCACTGAGCACCCTGACCGGTGAAAACAAAGCCGATCCTCAACGGCTCTGACTCCTTTCCGGGAATAACCTTGCCGCTGTTAAGGGTCTCGATGAGCTCGAAGGAATCATCAGCAGGGATGGCAACCCTCCAAGGAAGCATAGAACGGCGCGAACCAAGGGTATACGCGATGTTGTCCATGAGGTCGTTCTGGAAAATTTCAGGCCTCTGCTCGAGGTAGACGACGAGGTTCTTCATGACAGCTTGAACGGAGTTCTTGTCGTTGGCAGACAAGACATACAGCTTCTTGCTGCCCTTGGTCTTCTTAGCATCAAGATTAGGCAATGTCTTGTTGTCAGGCTTGGGGGCAGCGTTGAAAGGCGCCTTCTCAAGGACGACGTGGGCGTTGGTGCCACCGAAACCGAAGTTGTTGACGCTGATGTACTTCTTGTTCTTGGGCCAAGGCCTCTGAGTGGCGGGAACCTTCATGTTCCACTCCTTCCAAGGGATCTTCTCATTGGGCTTCTTGAAGTCATGGTTGGGCAAGAGGAAACCTCTCTCCAGCATCATAGCTGCCTTGATGACACCAGCAATACCAGAGGCGGCTTCCAAATGGCCAATGTTGGACTTCACAGAGCCAATAAAGAGGGGATCCTTGGCGGATCTGTTTTGGCCAAAGACATTATGGAGAGCGGTGGCTTCAATCGGGTCACCAACCTTGGTACCCGTACCGTGGGCCTCAACGTAACCAGTGTCGTGAGGGTCGAGGCCTGCGTTTCTGTAGACCTGCTTCATGAGTTTCTCTACAGTTTTTGTCAGCATTCGGTTTCACGGTGTTGGATACAGTTTTGTTGCGTACCCTGTGCCGCACCACTTGGCATTGTAATGCCGGGCGTCTTGCCATCCTGGTTGATGCCGGTACCGCGAATAACGGCACGGATGGAGTCGTTATCCCTGATGGCCTGGTCAAGAGGCTTGAGGACAATGATGCCGCAACCTTCACCGCGACCGAATCCGGTACCACGGTTGTCGAAGGCAATAGAGCGACCTGTGTCTGAAAGCAATCTGCGTGCGCACACATTAGCATCATCGAGAAAACACAAAAGCCCTGAACAAAAATGCCGAAAGTGCTTACCGGCATGATGAGAAAGAGATCCAGAACTCAGGGAGCATGTTCAGATGGCAACCGCCAACAATCGCAGAGGTGGCCTCGCCAGCGCGCAGACTCTGGCACGCCAAATGCAGTGCGACCAGACTGGCTGAGCAGGCAGTGTCTGCTGTGAAACTAGGTCCTCTAAGATCGAAGAAATGTGAGAGTCGGTTGGACTGCATCGCATGGGCACATCCTGTGGGGAATGTTAGAGCGAGGTTGTGTCTGGGGGTGCAGGGGTCATCCTCATACCTGTGGCCTGGTGCATGGGTATCGTGTCACTGTCGCGGAAAAGGTGACTTTCGTACTCAGCAAAGCTACCACCGACGAAAACACCAACGTCCTTGCCGACGATTGTGTGCTTGGGGATACCAGCGTTCTCAAGTGCCTCGAATGTGCACTCGAGCAACAAACGTTGCTGGGGATCCATTGAGATGGCCTCCTTCTCTGTCAAGCCGAAGAAAGGGGCATCAAAGGACGCCAAGTCGACGTCCAAGAAGTTACCACCAGAGGCGTGGTAAGCGCCAGTCTTGCCTGGGTTCGGGTGGTAGAAGGCCTCGTGGTTGAAGCGCTCCTTGGGAACGGGAGTGAAGCCAGTTCTGGCGCGGGAGCACAGCTCCCAGAATTCGGCAGGGCTCGAGACGCTGCCAGGCATGCGGCATGCCATACCGACAATGGCAATGGGCATCTGCTTCAAGCCGGCGTCGCTGCCACCGACCGGGTTGGTGTAAGAGGCACCGTTTGAGTGGCCGTTGGAGTGACCATTAGAGTGACCGTTCATCGGCTGGCCGTTGACGCCGAGGCCGACACCATCTAGGGGGCCAACAGAAAGGCTCGTGAAGCCATCGGACGTGGTATCGGAGTGATCGATTGGAGTCATCATGACAGGACTCCCGGAAGGCGATGTCCCGGAAGAGGAGTAGGACAGGACACCGGGCGCCATGGTGGATGACGGGGGAGGAGATTGCGGAGGCCGCTATTTGTGGTCGTTCTCTATGCTACAGGCATTCGTCGAATCAACGAGAGATGGTGCAGCGAAAGTTTGGCGCTCTAGGCGTTCCGTAAATGAAAAAAGGGGGTGAAAGAGAAGTGAAGTGGGAGGAGGAGGAGGAAGCGAAAGGCGGACTGCGAATGCTCTAAGACGTGCGTATCTTGGGGCTTGGAGGGGGGGCAGGCCGTGTTGATATTGAATACTTACCAAGCCTCCTTGATGGGGATGAGATGAGTGAGTGTGACGAGTATTTTTTTCTGGTCCGGTTTGGGATTCTTTGTAGGCTTTTTAGCTGATCAACGGCATGGGGAATATCATGGTGCTCGCTCCGTTGCGAGTGAGTTGACATGGAAGGGACTGGTAGGTGATCAGATCGCCAAGTCGGCCGGAGTTCTTTGCACAGACTAGCCTGTGTGATTTAGATTTGCTTGACGGTTAGGTAGATCATAGGGAGATCCCGAACGTGCATGTAGGCGCATACACTGTCTGATAGTGAGCTGGGCCATTACGGAGAGGTGCCAGGGCACATCCGATGCCGGGCTGTCCATGTAGAGCCGGAGGGACGGAGCAGCGGCAGACCTTGCTCGTCACGAATTTCCCTCCTCATGTTTTGAAAGCAAGGAGGTACCTGTGATGGCGGAGATGGAGGCGATGGTTCCATGTCAGTCTGTATTACAGGGCTTATAGTAATTTCGGCCAAAAGCAAGTTCGATGGACTGATTATGCGTATTAACGGGTGAGCACGAGGAACGATGCTCGAAACGGTCATACCGGAAAGTGACCGGATGGTACAGGGAGTTGGTGGTCAACTCTAGCCAGTAAGGGCCAGATTCAGGACCATCTGCAGGTCCAATCGCTTTCCTCGACACAGGGGCAGCAGAAGTGAGAGGGCTGCAAGACCGGTTTGTCTCTAATGGAGCGGATGTGCCTTAGTTTGTTTGCGATTGAACAGCACTGGCAGGCTGCCATGCAGTTTCCATGCAGATTGCAGAAGGCGGACGTTTGACTCGGACTAAGACATGGCAGCGCAATGAACCCTCGAACCCCCCGCGGACGGGGGCCCGGTGGCGTGGTTCGGAGTTGAGGTGGTGGAGGGCGAGCAGAACCACGTACGATGCGCAGTGCTGTGGTGCCAATGTTAGGTGTGTGTTGGTGCTGGTGCTTATGTTGGTGCAGCTTGGAATAGTGGAGTCGAGTGGGCACCTGGAATCGCTGGACACTGGGGAGTTGGGGGCAACGGGGGAGCAAGGGCCAGGCGGAATACCAGTAACGGCAGCAACGCAACAGCGCAATAGGGCGCGTGCAGTAACTAAACGCTGCGCCGGTATCAGCAACGGAGCAGGGCGTTGGGGGTGGGGGGGCAGAGCGCCGCCAATCCGGTTTTGCGGGTCGGGTAAACATCCCCTCGGTTATTGATTATGTAACGCAGCTTGGCTCCCAGCGAGAGGTTTATTTGCAGAGGGAAGCATTTGAGGCCCGATTTCCCTGACTGGAGATTCCCGAAGCAGTGGCGACCCAATGAATGGTCGACCAGTCCCAAGGAGAAGGATGAGGAAACAATTCAGCCCCAGTCAATGCTGCCCGTAGACGAGATGATGGGGCGAAGTGCCTTGCAGATGCTACATCTTGGCCTCCGTTGTTTGGGAGGGACGATATCAAGCTTCATCTTCACCGCCAGGCTGCCATCGTCCGGTCACGAAATGACAAGAGTCTTGAACTCTGCCATGGGTTGAAGTGAGGCCGCATCTGCAGGAGACGGGAATTGCATGAGAACCAGCGAGGCGGTGCTTGTTTCTTCGTCCGCTCTCATGTTTTGGTCTGGACATCGGCGCTCGTTTGTTGTTCGGTTTGGAAAAGATTGTGTCTTGTGTCAAAAGCACCGACAATGGAAATTGCGGCGGCGGAGGGCGTCGAGGCGTCGCGTCTGTTCTTGCCGATTTTCTGACTGCCGCCGGGTCAAGGCCACTCAGTTTATCGGGTATATTTCCAAGTAATATTGCCTCAGGATTGCCACACAGAGCGACTTCAATACCGTTGTTGATCGGAATAGAGTGGGGGAACTGCAAGGAGGTGGAGGGAAGGGGAGGGAAGAGGAAGAAGCAGGGGTGCATGTACAGAAAGATGCGGCTACTTTGCTACAGGAGAAGGTGCAGATGTCTCAACCACTCAAAATGCAAGAGCAGCCTGTGATGCAGGTCCGGTTCACCAATTTTACAGTAGCGCCTTCTCCAGAGCGTTGGTCGAAGGCCGCCGAAAAAGGAATAGTCGGGACTCTCTCCCGAATTGGTCACCTTGGGACTCACCGAGGCAATCAAGTGAGGTTGAGTCAAGGTGAGTTGGTCCACCGCGGATACTACTATGTACGTACCTTATCGACTTGAAGTGGGTCCATTTACATACATTGGCATGCGCACAGGGTACGTATCTTTAGCATTCATTATCGAGGGAGGCACTTCACCGTTTAAGACATTCCCATGCAAAGATGCATATCTCGTCATCCTTCTCCGTCCACCTCATCTCTTATTCAACCTCCATCATCAATCCCTCCTCCCAGCATCCTTATTCGCCTCCATCTCCGCCAGTTCAAGCTGATCAGTTTCGGACCCAAAAACCATAATCGCCCATATCCCAGCATCACCTATGAAATACGTCCCAAAGAGCCAGCCCAAAGGAGCGAGGGTGTTTCTAAAACTGCTTCTGTCAGAAAGCTTTGGCAGCTTCCAAATCACAAGCGCGTCTGTCGCACTTCTTCTCGTGCCGTTGCAGTATCAGAGCTCTCGTTTGACACGCGCCAGCCACACTAGAGCCCTTGTCCCTGCACCGCAAAGCAATTTGCCTTGACTTGCCTTGCCTTGCGCTGACGCTGTGCCCCTCTGTTTGCACTCTCCAGGAGCCCAGGTACTCGAATCGCTGTTACAGGATACCCCTACAGGACTCGACTAGACCAACTCAATCACTGAGCCTCGTCACATTGACCACCTCCATCATTTGCCGCTAAGACAGCGCATCCCATCTGTCTCTCTCTCAAAGTCTACTGAGCATTTGTTCCAAAGAAACGCATGTTTTTGAAAACAATGTTTCTTCTCTGCAAACACACGCGCCTACGCTTGCCCGCCGTAGCCACCCAGATCGCCCCATCTCTCTCACTCACTCACTCACTCATTCGCTCACTCGCTCATCCATCCTCATTCACGCTCCCTTTCCTACATCTACGCACGTACACACGCCCGCATACAACTCACGCACACAACCTTGCCTGCTGCGCTCCTACATTTGGCCACCCATCTCATCACGTATCCTCTCCCTCTTGTCCAGTCAGATAATCAAGCCGTCACACACTCCCACTGCGCCCCCGCGCGGGCGATTCCTTATCCCGTTTCAAGCTTACAAGGTGACAGAAGACCGGACCGAAGTCCAGCCCAAAAGCCCAATTCCCACCTATCAGCATCTCATCGGTTGCACCAGTGCATCACCAGCGCCTCGTCCACTGATGATTCGGATTTCGGGAGGCCCAGACCACATGAGCTGCCACGCCTGCCAGACGGGCTGCCAAGTGTCTCGCTCCTCTGCAAGAGAAGCGTCTCCCTCTGGGGAGAGACCCTTCTCGATTCTTTCCATGTGGCCTGGCGTCTCCTCGCGCTTGTTTCGCTTCTCCCAGCCCAAACTGCTGCGCATCATATCCTCGTCCACCTTTTTCTTTCCCAAGAGTTGAGGACCGGGTCACCCAGCCAAGCCAAGCCTGCCTTCCTGTACCGACGCCCACAGGCCTAGTCTCATACTTCACCCAAGTCGTACACTTCCGCCCATCTTATCCACTATCCAATGGAAACGACACTGCAGCAAGATGCCAGTATCATCACTAAGCAGTTCCTTACAGTCCCAGTTCCAAAGAAACCCCATTCCGTCTCATTTGCTGTGTGCTATGCTGGTCCCATACTCTCGGCGACAAGGCACCGCCACATCGTCCCTTGCCTCAATCATGATGAGGTGCATAGTTTCAAATTTTCCTTTTTTTGCTCTCGGCTTTCGGTCAATCTGAGTTGTTTACTGTTCCAGCCTGGGGGGCAGATGGATCACTCAGCCTCCTCCTGTCTTGTCATCGTCCCGCGTCGACAGCTGTGCCGTCTCATTGTTTTGTCTGAGCTGATGATTGCCTCATGAGTCGAATGCCCGTGAATCAGCCGCCCGTACATCATCTTACAGGTGTTTCTTAGATAACTTCAAATTGATTAAAACGCTGCCGTTTGGCCGGTTTATTTCAGACAATCCAATCCACACAACTCGCTGATTCATCAACATCACAACCATCAACACTCTCATATCATTATCAACATCCTACAACAGACATCTTCGCCGCGGTTTTTAGATTTACCATCCATTGCCTTCTTACTTCAACCGGCTCTCTCAAGTCACGCTAACCCATACCACTCTTCACCATGACTATGCGCTTTCTCTGCCTCCCCGGTGCCTACGGCAGCTCGGACGTGAGTACTCGCATGCCCCTAGTCCATTGTCTACCTAGCTAACGCATATTAGAAATTCCAAGTTCAACTTGGTGAGTCTTAAGCAAGAAGCCACCCCAAACCACCAAAAGTGGCTTCTTCTTCAAAGCTTTTGTTATCATACTGACCAAACCTTCGCAGCCCCCATCCTGAAGGAGCTCACCGGAGATGGCACGGCACAGTTCCATTTCATCCACGGACCTTGCAAGGCCGTTCCTCCCCCGGGCTTCGAGGACTACTTCGGCGCACCTCCCTACTACCGCTTCATTGAGCCCGATAGGGATGTCGAGAAGACTCACAGCGATGACGTCCTTGCCCGTATCCGTGACTTCCCTCAGTGCGAGAGCCCTGAAGACACCATGAGAGAGCTCATGAGAGAAGGTATCGCGACAACGCACCGCAGCACCGACAGGGCTATCAAGTACCTTAGCGAGATCGTCCAGAAGCGCGGTCCCTTCGACGGCATCATTGGCTATTCCGAGGGTGCCACCGTTGCCTCGACATTCATGCTCTACGAACAACGCCGCCTGAAGCGCTCAGGTCACAAGCCGGCGTTCAAGTACGGCATCTTCTTTGCTGGCTGGCCCCCCGTCGATCCCAAGACTCATGCCCTCGTGCTGTCTGACGAGACCGATGAGAGAATCGAGGCCCGTACTCTTCACATCAGTAAGCTACCTCTTTTTTTGCGGATTCAACCGATGATCATCCATTTTTAGCTATTGGGACACACTTGCTGACAATGCATCTTTTTTAGTCGGATCCTTGGATCCTTATGTGGACGGTTCTATGGCCCTGTACAACATGTGCGATCCTGACACCGCCTATCTTTTCGATCACGCAAAGGGCCACACCCTCCCCCGTGACAAGGAGACCATCAAGGAACTCGGCGACATTGTGCGCGAGACCATGGTCGATATGCAAGAGGAGGGCCTGTTGTAATGGTTGTGGCGTGGCCACGGAAGGGACATCCCGGCGAAGGGAACATTTCCGAATAATAACCATCGATACGGCTTGTTCGTCTCTGAGTTTGGGGGTAACGCAAGGGGCCGGTTTCCTATTTCCCATATAGCATCGGATAGAGGGCGCATATCCTGGGGAGCCTGCTGGAGTCGGGACATGATGATTTGGGTTTTTTGGTTTTGGTTTTTTTGTTGCATGGATTTCATGTCGACGTTTATTTCTTTATTGCTTCTTTTTTTTTGCAAATCATGGCACGCCGCTCAAACACCCTGGGTGGCGTCGTCCTCGTTGTTCTAGTCGCAACGCAAACCAGACTACACAAATCTAGATGGCGTTTCTGAAATATTTGACAGCAGTTCGCAGCAGTGCCCACGCCCGTCAAACTTGTCAAGCCTTGTTCCGTTCAGGGTCTTGCATAAATGCATGATCCGGTAAAAACGTCCTCCGTGGAGTCAAGTGGGCAGAGGCTGCCCTATGTCAAGTGTCAAGACGAATGCTCTTACAACATCCATCTGCCAAAAACGAACAAGAAAGAATGCCAAATCTCTTGTACAAAACAAAAGTGGCCGTGCCAGATGACAGATAGTCTTACTTTGAACAGTAATGAGAAGAGCGAAGCGAAAGCGAATACTATGCAAATGCTGTCACTTCACATGGTTCCTCGGGACAAGCCTGTTCGTTTCTAATTCGAACCAATCCTCGAGACACTTCCGCGAACTTGGATCAGACCAACCACTTGTGATATCGCCATTATTCAAACACTAGATGAAAAATCTTGCATGGAATTTCCTCATTAGGGCATCGATCATCAGAAACAGGTCGCACAAATGAACAGGTTGCAGGGTGGTGGCACATTGGGAAAGGGGAAAAGAGGAAGAAAGGTGGAGAGGAGAAACAGAGTAGAGGAGGGGTGGGGGGGAAGGGAAGTGCTATGGAAGGGGATGGCTGTCTCTCTCTCTCCCTCTCCTGTCTGTCTTGATTCGCAAAACATGCATGTCCTGGCTTTGCCCCAGACCCTGTTTTCACGAGTTCACGAGCGCAAGATTCATACTTGGCACAGGGAACCGGGCTCCAAAGCGTGGGATGGTGGCCCATTCCTCCCGCACGGGCAATCCCAGACTGACTAACCCCTCGACCTGCATATGTGGGTAAAACAAATAAACGAGCAAATACTACTCGGTTAAGGTCCCGGTACGGTACGTCCTGCGCTTTGGGATCTGGGAAAATGCAAAAACGGAAGAGTGTAAGACATTCTGCGGGAGGCAACAGAATTGAACGGGGGCAGAGGAGAGGGAGGGGGGGCAAAAACGGGGAGAAGGGATAAGCAAAGAACAATGAACAGATGCCCACCAAAGGTTCCCATATCGCTCAAGGTCACCCGTTTCATCTTTACCTCACACTGGTAATAGAGGAGAAGAAACCACGTCCGTTCATTACTCGTTTCCACCTTCCCAAGACCGAACCGAGCGAAGACAGCTACAGGACACTCACTCACTCACTCAGCCTCCTTTCCCATGTGCCTCCAGATCCTTAATTCTCCACGTCAAACCCAGTAAAACACTGATTGCGATTGGATTATAGAGTGCGTCTATCTTACGTAGGGGGGCCATCTGGGATAGATGACGGGGAATTACACGCACAACTCTCCTCTCTCTCCCTCTCTCTCTCCTTGTCTATATTTCCGCATATACTTATCCACTCACAAAGTGATACGATAGCCAAGATACAGTTGCATACTCCTCTAACAAGCAAATCGTTCCCTCGTCTCCACTCTTATCTAACATCCTCTCTCAATCTCACTCTCAATCTCGTCCCAACTCGCCGCCGCCGCATCCCAAGAATCTCACAAAGTCTCAAAACCAACTCTCTCGGCGCTGGGTCGTTTTTGTCTCCTACTCTCGCGCTCGTTTCGCAACAGGCGATGCACCAGCGGAGGCGGCAACGAACACAGCCGCTTTTTTGGTTCCCTTTGCAAGTCCTCACAAGTGATCCGTTGACATTCTCGCGCCGCGGTTTCCAGTGCCCTTCTACCAGTCGCCCCCCCATCTCACAACCATCCCCAATCTCCCTCTCCTACTAGTCCTTTTTTTTTTCCTTCCTTCTAAACCCTTGTCTTGTTCTCCTCTTACCCCCCCTTCCCCCCTTCGCCTCCTGCTACTCTCTCGTCTGGTGCATCTTTGGCTCATTTTCCTGCCTTGTATCGTCTCTACACACACCTTCGTCTTCGTTCTTCCCCGGTTCCCTGAAAGAACTCTTCCATTCAGTCGCCGCGGGACGACCAAACCGAACTCTCTTTCGAATCACGAATCTTGACAAATATCCTGATACGCGAGTTGTTCGCATAAGACAGAAGTTTCCATTTGGAAAAAATCCACGATTCAACACCCACCCACACACACACACACACTTTTAGCCTCTTTCCCTTCCCTTGCCAGCCCGCCGATCCCAGGCCCCCCATACCCCCACCCACACATGGCCCGGACCTCCACATAGCTGACCCCCGATAAAACTTCCTATTCGACCGGAGCTCTACCCCGATCGGAAGACCCACTTCGCCACCCCACCCAATCATTATGGCCACGCCGGCCGGCGCCGCTGATGCGGCAGTCCCGGGCCCGGCTGCCGGTGGAGCAGTCCCCGCCGACCCCAATGCCACACCCGAGGCTCCCAAGAGGGCGTGGTGGAAGCTCAGCGCCAAGAACGTCGCGACTCTGCGCAATTTCATTGTACGTTCTCGTCGATCACTCTTGGGATTCACCATGTTTGCGTGCATTCATCACGTTGCTAACTTGCTTCACAGAGGATCTTGTCCTACGGTACCTGGTATGATAAGCTCATCATCGTGCTGTCGGTGTTGGGTGCCATCGGCGCTGGTCTTACCATGCCGGTGATGAACATTGTGTTTGGTAGGTCCATTGCCATCTCCCTGGCGCAATCTTGCCTGCTAACACACACATAGGACAACTCGTCGGGACCTTTACCGGTTTCTTCAAACAAGGCACGTCAGAGACTCAGGAGGAATTCACGCGTACCGTCAACCAGGGCGTGCTGTACATCGTCTATCTCTTCATCGCGAGACTAATCCTGACCTACCTCTCCAACGTGAGTGCCGCTCATTCAAACAATCGTCACATCATCCGTCGCTGACAGTCTCCCCTCTAGCTTGGTTTCCGCATGACGAGTATCCGCATCTCCGCCGCAATCCGCCTGGCCTACCTCCGCTCCATCTTCGACCTCCCGATCTCGATGCTAGACATGCTGGCCCCAGGACAAACGGCCGCCATCATTACCATCACCGCCAGCATCCTGCAGCTCGGCATTTCCGAGAAGCTGGGCACCTTTTTCTCCAGTCTGGCCACCGTCATCGCCGGCTTCGTCATCGCCTTCGCATACAACTGGCTGCTCACGCTGACGACTGCTTCGGGCTTGGTTTTCATTCTCTTCGTCTACATGTTCACCACGCCGCCCATCATCACGCGCCTCAAGGACGTCCAGGACATGGACATCCAGGCTGCCTCCGTCGCCACCGAGGCTTTCAGCTCCATCAGGATGCTGGCTGCGTGCGGTGCCGAGTTCAAGATGCTGGAGAAGTACGGCATCCTCGCCGATCAGTCGAGACAGCGGGGAGCGAGCATGGCATGGCTGATTGCGTTCCAGCAGGGACTAAGTGAGTTTATTCTTTTGGTTCTCTTCGTGAGAAATTCCAGCCCAGCTAACCTTGGAAACAGTCTTTTTCGGAATCTATGCGTAAGCATCTCGATCACCCAACAGTATCTAGCGACACGAGTGGCTGTGTGACTGACTTTTCTTTCTCTCACAGGACGTTTGCGCTATCCTTCTGGTACGCGTTCAGGATGTACACCATGATGGCCTTGACCACCCCGGCGTCCCTCATCGTGTAAGTGGGCTCACTCCCCCTACCCCACCCCCAGGATGAAACTCGGTCACTGACCCTGAGCGTTTTTTTTTTTTTTTTTTAGCGTTCTTCTCTGCATCATGATGATGGCCTCGTCCGTCGGCCAGCTCACTGCCCCTCTGTCAGCGGCGTCTCAGGCAGCTGACGCTAACGGCATCTTCCACACCATCATCGACGCCCCGAAGCCGACATACGGCAAGATCACTGGCCCCGAGGCGTCCGCCGAGGGTGACATCGTCTTCCAAAACGTAAACTTTGTCTACCCCAAGCGGCCCGACGTCAAGATCCTCGGCAACCTGTGCCTCACCTTCCCTGCCGGCAAGGTCACTGCTATCGTCGGCCCTTCTGGCTCTGGAAAGAGTACCATTGTCGGTATCTTGGAGCGCTGGTATGAGTTTAACGGAGATTTGCAGACCAATCAGCTGGTAAGTGACTGCTGACTACTGTATTTCCTCACCACAAGACTAATTCGTTGCAGGTTCTGTGGCTCAGAAACGGCATCATCAGCTGCGGAGGTCGCCTCCTCAGCGAGATCGAACCCAAATGGTGGCGCAGCCAAATCGGTCTGGTCCAGCAAGACAACGCCCTCTTCAACACCACCATCTTCAAGAACGTCGAGTATGGTCTCATCGGTACCGAGTGGGAACACGAGGACCACGCCATCAAGGCCAGACTCATCAAGGAAGCATGCAGGGACGCCTTCGCCGACGAGTTCATCAGCCGTCTCCCCGAGGGCTACCAAACTGAAGTCGGCGACGCAGGCATCAAGCTTAGCGGTGGCCAGCGTCAACGTCTTGCCATCGCCCGTGCCATCGTCAAGCAGCCCAAGATCCTCATCCTCGATGAAGCCACCTCCGCTATCGACGTCCGTTCCGAGCAGATTGTCCAAGCCGCCTTGGACCGCGCCTGCCGCGGTCGCACCACCATCATCATTGCTCATCGTCTAGGAACCATCAAGAAGGCTGATAACATCATCCTCCTCCGTAAAGGACAGGTCGTACAACAGGGCACACACACGGAACTCATGTCCCAGATCGACGGACCGTATCACCTTCTCGCTACCGCGCAGAAGCTGGACATGGGTGTCGAGGAAGATGATGACATCCTCTTTGGCGACCTCAGCTGGAGACGCCCCGAACCCGAGAGAAACTCTGTCCGCAAGTCGCTTCCCTACGGCAGCAGCACTGGAGACCTTACCGAGAAGCGACCCAGTACCGATGCTGGCTCTTCTGGAGACAGCAACCCGGTCACTGAGCGCGATGGCTCTGACGAGGAGCTTGAGCGCGGCGAGGGTGCGTTGAGAGTCGTCAAGGAGCCCACCGGTCTGCTTGCTCGATGGAGGGCCTGGCGCTTGTTTGGAAGCTTCGGCCAGTTGCTCGGCGAGCAGAAGAAGCGGTGGAAGACGTACGTCGTGATTGCGTTCGCCGCACTCGGTGCCGGAGCCAGCACCCCCGTGCAAGCCTACCTCTTTGCCGTCCTCGTGTCTCTCTTCTCGTACTGGGGAACGTTCCTCCGCGTCATCGCCAACCACTGGTGCATCATGTTCGTCTACCTCGCCGCGGGCGTCGGAGTGTCCCACTTCCTCCTCGGCTGGGCGACCACCACCATCGGCTTCGGCATCACCCGCGTCTACCGCAAGGAATACTTCCGCAACATCCTCAACAAGCCGTCTGCCTTCTTCGACATTGAGGAAAACAACGCCGGTGCCCTCACGGCCCGCCTCGCCATCGACCCGACCATGCTGCAGCAGCTTCTCGGCACCAACATGGCCTTTGTCCTCATCTCTTTGTTCAACGTCATCGGCTGCATCGTCGTCGGTCTCGTCTTCGGCTGGAAGCTCACGCTCGTCGCTCTGGGGACATCCATGCCCATCATCGTCGCAGCCATGTTCTACCGCGTACGCCACGAGACTCAGTTTGAGGAGGCCAACAACGCCGTCTTTGCCGAGAGCGCCAAGTTCGCGTCAGAGAGCATCGGCGCCATCCGCACCGTTTCCAGCTTGACCATGGAGGAGGGTATCTGCCAGCGTTACAACCAGTTGCTCAACGACCACACCAAGGATGCGTTCCGCAAGTCGAGGTTCAGCGTGTTGCTGTTCTCCTTCAGCGACAGTATCTCTCTGCTCTGCATGGCGTTCGTGCTTTGGTACGGAGGCCGCTTGCTTTCCGACCACGAGTACACTCCTTTCCAGTACAGTAAGTATAAAGCCATCAGTGATATCTTGACCAGGGGACTAATAGTATTCTAGTGGTTGTTTACATTGCTGTTGTCCAGGGTGGCATGAGCGCCGGCCAGTGGCTCAGTTTCGGACCCAGTAAGTGTTGATCAGCTCACCACCGTAGAACGCCATTAACATTCCCCAGATATTGCCAAAGCAAAGACTGCCGCCGACCGCATTCTCGCCATGCGCGATAACGATGAGTATGAGACAAACCCCGCCGGCCGCATCAGTGACATCGTGCCATATGAGGTTCACTACGAGAAGGGCGTCGAAATCGACTTCAGGGATGTCTGGTTCAGCTACCCGACGCGCCCGACTCCCGTCTTGAAGGGTCTTGATCTGCACATCGAGCGTGGCCAGTTCGCCGCCATTGTCGGCCCCTCCGGCTCCGGAAAGACAACCATTATTTCCCTCCTGGAGCGCTTCTACACTTTGCAGGAGGGTCAGATCAGCTACAACGGTCACGACATCAACACCCTCGAACTCAACAAGTACCGTCAGAACATCTCCCTGGTCGCACAGGAGCCTTCGCTCTTCACCGGTACCATCCGTGATAATATCCTCCTCGGCATCGAAGACGAGTCTTCTGTTTCAGACGAGGCGATCCATGCCGCTGCAAAGGACGCCGGTATCCACGAGTTCGTCATGTCTCTGCCAGAGGGATACAACACCGCCGTGGGACAAGCCGGTGTCGCCCTCTCCGGCGGCCAAAAGCAGCGTGTGTCCATCGCAAGAGCTCTCATCCGCCGCCCTTCGCTGCTTCTCCTCGACGAGGCGACGAGTTCGTTGGACAGCGAGACAGAGCGCGCGGTGCAGGCCGTCTTTGACGCCACCAAGGGCAGCAGGACGATGATTATGGTCGCGCATCGTCTCGCCACCGTGCAGAACGCCGACGTAATTTTCGTAATGGCGGATGGCAAGGTCGTTGAGAGAGGTGACCACGCAAGTTTAATCGCCGAGAGGGGTGTCTATTTCCAGATGGTAAGTTTCCATTGTCTACACACCATTTCTACTCTATATTGAGACTAGCTACTTTTCGGACAATCACGGCTAACTTTTCTACAGTGTCAATCACAGGCGTTGGACAAGTAAATGGATTTCCAGAGGGACGGATTTATTGGGATAGAAGAGGAGCGAGAGACTATTGTCTTGGACGTGGTAGAGGTTCCCCGCTGACCTATTATTGATCGAGGCGTTGGAAAGATTGTAACAACATACCACGGGTTTACCATCATTTTATCATGAATCTTTTTTTTTTTTGTTTATTATCATAGTTGCCAAACGCTATCTCGGCTCCATCTAGAAGAACTACTTTCTAGTTTTACAAGACAATTCCTTTAGTTCATACGTTTACGATGTTGAGTTGCAAGACCGGAATGAGAGCAATTCTCAACCATAACCTGTGACGATAGCCACGCTCAGCTCACTAGCTCAGGCGTTTTACGCTGGTTCAGAGATTCCCATGAGTAAGCTCAAATCGAAGCATCATCACCTGCAGTTCAGTCATCACATGTCAAAACCTACACGAGTTGACCAAGGTTGTGCATTCTCAACACTATTCTATACATTGACACACTATGCTCTACTTTTACGAGACTATTTCTTTTCCCCATCCTGAAGAAGTACCGTGCACCAACGACAACATCGGAAAATAAACATACTGACAAAGAGAAAAACGCGATACCGAGACGGAGTGGAAACCAAAGGCACGGACACGCACACTCCCCCTCATCGCCAAGTGTGCCAAGTGAGCGCGGCGCCGCAAATCCCTCACGGGTTCATCCCATAATCGGCGACCGACGACGGAACCCCGTCCAAAACACTCGTGTAGAGATTCCCAGATTCTAAAACGTCAAAACGTGGGCGCAACCTTCTCCTCGCTCTGCTCCATCACGCTCCGCAGCTTCAACGCGCGTAGCGAGCTCGTCGACGCCCGCGGCACATGCTGTCCTCTGCCCTCTCTCCCTCCGCTGCTGCCCATGCTCATCAGTGACCGCGTGCGCGTGAGACCGTTCGGTTGGGTGTGCATGTTGCTATTCGCAGACATCACAGCAGCGGACCCGCTTCGAGGTCTCGTGTTGAGGCGGCTCATCATCGAGTTGAGCGCCGTCTGCGCGTCAACAACCGGGTGACTCGGCGACGGGGCCTGTGATCCGATTACGGGATACGGCGCAGCGTGCGGGTTCGCGCCCGATGACGACGCTGGTGGTGCTGCTGCTCCCCGAGTAAGCGATGCCCCGCGTGGTCGGTTGAGTTTGGAGAGGAGCATCTCAGCGGCAGGCCTGCCTCCGACGGCAAACGACTGGCCGAATCTCGTAGGCGAACGACTTGAACCGCGGCTCGACGGCGGCGTCGGCAGGATCCTGTTGCTCCCGCCTTTCCTCATCTGCAATGTGTCTATGTGCATATCGCCTGCCATCTCAGGCGGCGACAACATGCCGCCGTTCACGCCGCCGGCGCCGCCGCCGGTTTGTGACATCTCCAGGAGCGCGGCTCGCTGGATGTCGTCAAAGTTCATCGGCACGGCGGGCATCTTGCTCAGCCGCCTTATTGCACGGCTGTTCTTCTCGACGAAACTGTTCATCGCTCTGAGAGCATCAGCGTTCTCGCGACTCGCGACCGCGCTGACATCACCCGTGCTCCGGCCTCGGGCCTGGTGTACTGCGTTGAGGGTCAGAGGTTGCTGCTGCTGACTTGACATGTGAGCGGGATTCATTGACGACGACGAAACGTCCTGTCGCAGGCTCGCTTGCACCTGCGCCATGACTCGGTCAAAGTCAATGTTCTGATTAGGGTTGGCGCGCGACATGTAATAGGGCTGATGTTGCTGCTGGCTCAGGAGGTTCGAAGAGAGCTCAGCCTTGGTCGCCAGGACGAAGAGGCTGCCGTCACGGATTCGTCGGCGGACGAGGGCCCAGCGGGTGCGGGCCGGGTTCTTCTCGAGCTGCGGTTGGTAGACTGAGCACCGCGCGAGTTGCGTGTAGAAGATCTCCAAGTGTCTCGCCATGCGCTCGAGGACTTGGAGGAGGAAAGTGGAGAGCGCGGTGAGTCGGGCGTTTTCGACGTCCGGATCCGAGGAGTCCTTGATGGAGTCGGCGATGCTGTCGAAGGCGTCCATGCCGTTACAGGCCTCTTGGCGGAGGTCTTCCAGTAGGGCAATGTCCAACTCGACGCTTCGGGCGGCGTATGCGAATACGCCGCGTTCTTGGAAGCGGAGAGACGCATCTGCGTCGCAGACAAACTGGCCGACTAGTGCTACTTCCTTGGTGCAGGTTGCCGCGTCGCCGCTGGTCTTTGCGCGGGCGACGGTGCCGAGGACATCGGGGAGTTTGGTATCGGCGGCGGGGCCGTTTGCGCTTGCGACGACGAAGGAGAGTTTTAGGACAAGTTCTTGGAGTTTGGGGCCGAAAAGAGCCGCGAAGCCGCCTTGGAGAAGACGCGACTGGTACCCGTAGAAGGTTCGGACGGCGATGATATTGGGCAGGCTTTCGCGGAGCCAAATGTTGTTGCTTCCAGCAGGGTCGTGAGAGGAAGATGTCTCTAGAGACGCTCCCATGATTTCGTACATTTCGAACTGATGAGCAACAAGCGTTTCGACTGTAGTTCTGAGGTAGGCTGACCAGAGGTCGTGGAGGGCTGAGATCTCGTCACTGCCGTAGTCGGGCTTAGGGGTCAAGTGGCCGACAAAGTATTTTGTCAGGAGACTGGACACTTCGGGATTGTTGGTGTGGGCGAGGTTGTCGAATGACTTGGTGCAATCGACACCGGCGTTCGACTTGATGATAAGAGTCCCGCCTGGGTGCATAGGACAGAAGTCGGTGACATCGTAGACGCTTCCGTGAACTCCAATCCACATGCGTGATCCGGGACGATGACCTGTATGGAGTGCCAGCTGGGACAGAGGAATAGTCGGTAGTGTGCATGGCAGTGGCTTAGGTGTCATGAACACATCGAGCATGAAGCGTCTTTCGGCAAATGCCTTGTTGACAATGGTATCCACGCCGCTTTCGGTAGCTGTTCTGTAGGTGTAAATAGCTTTGCGGATGCCATTCATGACAGAGTCAAAAACGGCAACGGAGCCGCAGATATAGAGATAGCCACCAAGACCGCCCTGCTTCTTGGACATTACAAGGTCGCAAATCGCAGCACCTTGTTCGACAATCAAAGTATCGATGTAGCGAGGGGGAATATGCTTCTCAACGAGGTCCCGGCCATCGTAAGCCAACCCTCGAGAGTCTCTTGAGAATGCGATATGAACCTCCATAAATCCCGCATCAACGTATTGCCTCAGCTCTTCTTCAAAACAGAACTTCTCCCGTGACTGAACGCCGAGATACAGCAAGTTCTTGCCCCCTGATAGACCACTTTGGGCGAGACGAGCCTGCCAGAAGCTTCGGAAAGGTGCAATACCACTACCGCCAGCAAAGAAGGCACAAGGAGCCATGGAGTCCAGAGGAAGTTGAAAGGCAGCTGGCCTAGAAACACCGATAAGGATCTCATCATCAGAGTCGATTTCTTCCACCTCTACAGGAGGGTTGAGAAAGCCGCTGGCAACGCCTGCACGGGAGACTTCGCTGTTCTTGGCAAAGGTCGAGCACAACTTATACTCGGAGCGAGATACCGCCAAATCAACAGTCTCAGGAAGGAGTTCCTCAGTGTAGCTTGCGATAGAGTAGGTGCGCGGGACCTCGAGAGGGACGAGATCAGCCAGCCAAGATACGTTCTCAAGATTGAAGACTCGGTCCCAGATCTGGGGCGGAGTGTCTGTGACGGCATCCTGTAAAAGGTCACCCAAAGAGCCCCTGACGGGCCACTCATCGGTGCTCAAGACCTGTAAGACGGTGTTGGAGGAGGCGTGGAGCATGCCATGGATCTTGAGGGCCATATCTTTTGTAATGGGAGCCAGATGGCCGCGTCGCAAGATGTCGCCTATAGTCAGCTTGGGTGTAGCAGTTCTCCTTACTGAGCCTAGGTGCATTTCAAACCGGGCCCATGTTCCGGTAACATCAACAGGGGCGTCGATATGCTCCTCCAAGCCGAGAGCGGCGATCACTTTGGCGCATTCCTCCCAGCTGTTCAGGGGCATCACTGCCAAGCGGTCTCCAGGTGCAAATGTGATTCCAGTTTCCCGAATATCGAGTGTGGCCATTGCAATAGAGCGTGCTGGATCAGAATCGACAAATGATCTGCTCAAGACCCGGCTGACGTAGCGGCACTCTTCAAAAGTGCCTCGCATTTGGTGCGGCTCAACCGGCAGAGCCCCTCGGTAAGGTTCAAGTCGTTCCTTCATGGCTTCGGAGAATTGACGGTGAGTCTCTTCCCATGGGCGCTCGCCGTCGGCGGCTCCTGATGCGCCGTTGGTCTCAGTACGACCAGTTTTAGCTGCAACCTCGAGAATTCCAAAGACTTTGTAACGGTGAACACCCATAAAGCCTCGCTCGCCAGTGTAGGCTTCGACAATGCCATCAAGAACACCCATCAAGCGGGGGTCCCCAGATTGCTGAACGAACTCGGGAACACGGTAGTGGTACTCGATGGCTGCAATGAAGGCGCGCAGGTTGGATGGGAGCCAAGCACGAAGGTGGACTCCCTAAGCACCAAGGAAAGATGAGTACCTTCACGTCAGTTAGCCAGTTGAATATACCTACTTTTCGTCTTCGTTCGGAGTGAATATCCAAAATTGTAAATGTTAGAAACTTACTTCTTTCTGCCCAAAAATGCATCCATCACCAGATACGGCGGGAACTGCAAGCCGGAAGAGGCAGGGCATCGCTTTGAAAGGGGCGCAGAGAACTTGGCCCAGCGGACCCATTGTTGAACGGGAACATAGTTTTCGCCCGCATTGGGGTTTGTGGAAATGGAATGAAAAGCATTAGGCATGCGCTCGAGGATTTCCTTCAGTCGGATCATTTCATGAAGAAGACCCTCGATGTTGCGGTTCATGACATGCTCTTGGCAAGCAGCAATAGCATCAGGGCCGTGTTGAAAAGAAGCTATGAATCATTGTCAGCGAGACTTGCAAACCACTGACGATAGAGTGAAGAAGCTGGCTAAACTAACCAGATGTCTCTGCAACTCCTTTCAAAAATGCCACCTCGGCACGTTCGCCGAACATTGGCCATCTCAGTTCGATGTTGTCGAAACGTGCAAGGTAAGGATAGCTCGAAGTGACATCCTTGATGTTGAGGTTGTAGGAAGATTGGTCGACAAATGTGAGATGCGGTAGTGTTCTACCCATTCGACGAGATACTTGAAAGTACGGTAAAGCAATGCTGAGAGGAATTCCCACTAACTCCTCTCCAAGGTAGTCACCCATCTTGCAATTCAGCCTCAGTTTTGACGGGCTGGTTGTGGCGTTCACTCCATCATGCCCGTCATACTTTTGCTCGAAGCGGTATATGGAGCAGAGTATTCCCAGGGCGACTATCGCGGCCCAGAGTGCTTGGTCGGGGATGACGTCCTCGGTTCCTTCGATGACGGGTGCTGCGGCAATCGATTCTCTGACGCGGCCGCGAGACACACATCCTGGCATTCTCTCACAGAGGTCAGACCACACACGTCCCGGAGACCTGGCCAGGGCACCTGCAGCCTCGTCATAATCCGGTGGGCAAAAGCCGTGCTCTGTGCTGAGGTATCCATCTTTCCAGCCTGTTTGTGAACCGATTTCTTCCGCTCTCAGCATCACTTGTCTCGCTGGCGCTCCAAGGGCGACGGCTAGCAGGTCTTGTTCGTTGACATTAAAGGCGTCCATCTGTGCTTGGTCCTTGGCCATGTCGATTTCTTGTCCTGAGGGGTAGCTGGAGTATAGAATCTGGTTGATCGACCTTCGCTCTCTGTCACGATAAATTAGTATCTATTCCAGTTGGATGTTGTTCGACATCACCTTCCTCATACGAAGCCACTCCTCGGCATCAACTCCTCGAGGGATCTGTAAGTTTGTCAGTATGCTCCAAGTCATCATATCCCCCCAGGCTTTCACTTACATCGAATGCTGCATGAATGTCGCCCGGTTGAGAGAAGCCAGAAAACGAACATCCTCGGGGTCCCATGCGGCTGCTTGCTCTGCTTTGTTTGCCTTGAGCAGCAGCACCAGCTGGACATCTTCCTCTCATGGAGCCCGAAACCGGACAGGATCTCTCTGAGTAAGCCATTTCTAAATGTGGCAGTGGTTTGGTCGATGTCTGCTCGCAAAATATAGACAAAAAGTAGAGTAATTATGAACAATAGTCAAGATGGCCTCCAGGGCAGGAAGAAATTAACACCTCCAGGGCAAAGAATGAGAATGACCTCTAGCTGAAGGTCTCCATGCGCAGGGGCAAAAATAAAGAATCAAATCAGTTATAGAAGACTAAATGAAATGAAGCCCTCATAAGAACGGGATCGAAAGCATTCCAAAAGGGACATCAAGCACCGAAGACATTGAGGTCGTTTGTGGATCCTTCAGTCTATGACAGGAGAAGCGACATGGTTAGCCCCTGCATGCATGTCCGTCCCATGGGCAAACAAAATATCAACCCGCAGACTGGGGTTACTTGACGGGAAGTCTCCGCGGCCGTTTGAACTCTGATTCACAGCTGTCAGGAACTCGTGGGCCAATGGCAGGAAAAGAAAAAAAACACTTTGGTGGAGAGTTTTGGACGGACAAAGCTGCACTAGCAGCTGATACTCCATGTGGCCAAAACACGCTAAGCTGTCGTCTTAGGACGATGTTGAAGCCATCCAAAGTTCAGATCTTGGCTGTGTGTCCCAGGAGAGGTTGCTTGGGTTACATTCATATGAAGTGCCAAGACGATGGACATGCGCCAGGTTTCGAGAGTCGAGAACGGCCGGGGGACTTCATGCAGCCCTGGGGAGCATCTAGGCACATCAACGGCAGTACAGTTCTCGGTAATGGATGGAAAAATCTATCCTGGCGTCCGTCTAATTCATTTAGCATTCACGGGGGTTTAGTCAACGAACATTCCAGCTTAGGGAAATAGCCCGTTAGTCTGGCCCGCCCTTATTGATGAATCTAGGGGTACTAGCAAAGGCGAGGCGAAGAGAGCTGAAAATGAGGAGAGGCAGGGGATGGGAAGAAAATAGCCTCATCCTCAACAGCCGGTCACAGTGGTGTGGATGTCGACTTTAAAGTCAGCCAATCCAATGATATCATCTTGTCACACTTGGTTTGTTGCGAGCAATTCACATACCTGATCTACTGATCCACAATTTCTTTTTTCTGAATCTACGGGATGGTGGGGGGGTTTGGGGGCTTGGCATTTTGTTCCCAGTGAGTTTGTGACTTTCATCGTCGTAGGACAAGGTTCCGATGCAGTGGATATCTTGTTCCTGACCAGTTCTGCTGACAACGTTAGGTAGCCCAAACCGCCACTTCAAGTATCATCTGCTGGTCGTTTCTTTTCTTCTCAGATTTTAATCGAGGATACAGAGTCCTTTGAACGGAGTACATCCAATGACCAGGATTAAGGTCGAGAACCGCCCCCACACGGCTCCTTTCCCCATTGATCTCCTCAGACGAGTGGCAGCAGGGGTCAGCCTGGCAACGCTCCCCTGTTACATTTGATGCCGCCTTTTTCTTTAGAAATTGCCCAGGGTGAGCCATTTTTACACCTACCTCTGAATTGAATGACTGGTTGAAGTTTGGCTAAACTCCCGTTGACGCGCGTTCCAGAATCTCAGAGTGCTGGCCACAACTCTTGGCAACCGAACATGGCATAATATGGCCCATAATACGACCCAGCCACGCGTTTCTGCCATATCCAGGAGTAGACCGTTATTGACGAACGTATCCCTTGTGAATATGTCATGTCATCGTTGCAGGCCATAGCATCGTTTGATGTTGAATCTACTGTAGGTTTCACAGGGGGTGAAACGGAATTCCGTTCGTCAATAACAAATAACAGTAAATTGGTTCTAATCGATGGTTCATGATAGTTGAAAGTGGTGTTGTTGACTAGAAGGTGGGGATATTCCCCCTTGGCCTGTCACGTGGGTCTGGGAGGCTTGGGCCTCTCAGCCTGGCGGGCGTGTGGCTGGAAGTGCCATACGACTCCGTATTCCAACTATCGCAACACTGGAAACTCTCTTTTTATAGTGTTAAAGCGGTTGGAATACGTTGTCCCTATATAGTTCCGTCTCCTCGTTAATTCGGCCTCCTATCCTTACTTTCTCCCGTAGTTACGGTCTTATTACCTATCCCTCTATACGTATCGTTATCGTATTGCTATCAACGAATCTCTCGAAGGCTTGATTTGGTTTGCTCTTCGTAAGGGTATTAGCAGGGTTGTCTTCGCCGTTAATCTAACGAATTTCTTATAGTTCTCGTCTTTCGTACGATTGTCTTAACGTTATAATATTGATTATAAGTTGCTTTTCTTTAGTAATGCCTAGCTTTACGAGATACTCGTATAGCGAATAAGAATCAGTATAGATAACTATCTAAATCGTTAGTAGGTTAAGGTAGTTAGTAATTATTACTAAGGTTATAGCAAGGGCGTAGGCTATATCGACGCTAGCGACTATCCCGTAGATCTCTAACGCTAATACGCTATAGGTAACTTATTTACTCTTCGTAAAGCTATAATAAACAAGGTTATTATAAATCGTAAATTCTCCGTTATTACTATTAGAGGAAGTATCGTTAGCTAAGATGATTAGAAACCCTAATTAGGAGGAAAGGTCGTAGTTATTAGCAAACGACTTATTAACGAAAACGAATAGCTTAGCTATTATAAGGTCGAGTAAGATAAACGTTATTCCTTAGTTAGGCGATTCTATTTACTATCGAATCCGTTAATTTAGTACTTTTATCGCTTCTAGCGAAGGGTCTTAGTATTAGGCAGTAGTAGATAAATCGAAACAAGCCTCGGGTTAGCAAATTAACGCGATATACGCCCTTCTAGCGCGTTGTTCGACATATTACTATTTTAGGTTAGGTTTAGTAGTCTTAATACATCGTAACTTCTTAGCTTATCCCTTTTACTTTAAATTAATCGAATTATCGGTTAATAGCGCGACTATCCCTCTATTAAATTAGAAAGGTTTGTTAATTATAAGGATATTCTTCGCTTTTATTATAAAAGCTGCTTTTTCTAACTATTCGTCTTCTAATTATAAGAACGCCTTATCTAATAAACCGAGGGTATCGTCGGTTTATATGCCGATATAGCTAAAGTATAGATTTTCGGTAGATAAGATTAATAAGCATAGATCGTACGAAGAAGTAACTATCTAGAGATTCTCTTTATAATACTTATAATACGTTGCCTACTAGTAGGTTCTAGCTTTTACGATTCTATATAAAGGCTTTATAACCTTTATAATAGTCCCTTTTAAGTACTAGTCTTGAATTTGCTTCGGTAGGTAGGCGAGAATAGTACGATTAAGCCTTATAGAGGATTAAACGTAGGCTTATATAATATCTCGAAGCTATAGTTATTTCCCTTCTCGTAGGAGTAACGGGGTAATTAATAGAATTAGCCGTTAACTTGCTTGCTAAATCGTTAGCAATTAGGTTAATATAGCCTTCTTACTATCGTCGGCATAACCTTATATTATAAGTCTCGATTTCTCGTAGGGTTCGGTTGTTTTACCCTTGACTTCGTTAACGATACGAGATCGGAAGATTCGTACGTTTTAATACCTTCTCTTATTAAACTAGGTAAATTTAAATACTCTTCTAGCGATAAGGCTATTAATCTCTTATTTAGTTAACTATTCGAACGGTTTGCTTAGTATAGTAATAATACCTTCTCGTCGTAGTTTAATTACTAATTCTTCGTCTACTTACTTTTTAATCGATAGGAATATTTATTAATAATCCGGGTTATTATTAAATTCCTTTATAAAGTAGGCGATTAGTAGTAGTCTCTTCCAGGGTCTGCCTAGGCGTCTTCTCGGTAGCTCTAGTGCCTCTTGCAGTTCGTCTGGTTTACTACCTCTGCTAGCGACGATAATTTCGTCGCGTACTACTTCCTACTATAGTATCTTAGCTTTAGGTTCTTCTTCTTCTAGCATAGCGATAGAATTAGGTAGTTAATCAGGATCTTTATAGTATAGTTTAACTATAGTAGACTAGAAGGTCTTTAGACTACGTAGCGTATCGATAGTATAGGTTTCGCCGTTTATAGCTACTAAAGTAAATAGTCTAGTCTAGCCCTTCTTTTCGCGCTATACTTATACTTATAACCATAGTAGTAAATTAATAATTAGCCTTATATTAAGGCTATTATAAGTAGCGATAGCTTCTACTACCTATCGCCTTACGTAAAGTTCGTATACTTTGCTTATCGCCTTCTTAATCGCTTTCGCCTGCCTTATAACTTCGGGAGATAGTAGCAAATCGTTAGTAATTCGTAAGTATAAGCCGAATACTAAGAGTATTAGCATTATTCCGTTCAAGCTAGTAGTATCGTTAACTACTTTAACTACTATTTAAAATACTAATTCTAGCGTAATTATTAAGTCTTCTACTTTAATAATTTCGTACGCCTTCCTTAGAAGTATATAGTATCGTTTAACTTTCTTAATACTATTATAAGCTTTTATAAGAATTTCCTTGATTTTAATTACTATTCCTCTCGCCGCGTTTCGGAATTCTATTAAGCGGAAGTTTATTCTAGCGTCGGTAACTAGCTAGTCTAGGGGTCCTTGATATATATCTATCTAGCAGAGGCGTAAGGCTTCCTAAGTAGCTTTCGTAGAAATATCCTTAAGGAACTAGGCGGCGTTAAACGCTATAGCGGTATCGACGACGTAGAGGACCGGTCTATTACCCTTAAGGTATATTACGTCGGCAATAACCTTATAGTTAAATTCGTAATCGTCTCGTAACGTAAATTTAAACCGTAATAGCGCTAGTACGTATATTTAGCATCGATAGTAGACTTTCGATAGTTACTTAATTACCGTAATTTTAACTAGGTAGCTAGCCTTCTAAAGCACCTTATATAATCGTTAAATAGATAGGTATCCGAAGCGATAGTAAACCCGTCGCAATTTAGCGTCTATAAGGTAGTTCTAGGCAAGTAGTTTCTCCTTATTAAGTAATAACCATAGGTAGCCCTATTTGCGAATAATAGGTACGACCTTATTTCCTTAGATAAAGGTATTCGTAACGTTATTAAAGTAGACCTTTAATCGGTCTATATCT